CCCTTCTTGTTTTATTTCGCCCTAAGCCTATCACAAAAGATCTAGGGTCTCCAGAGGACGCCATCCATAAAAATTACTTGTTGTGGCCTTATGATCTCCATTTGTGTTATATGTTCTTTTTTCTAATTTAACACCTTTGTTGCATTATATTTGTTGAATTATATTATTCCATAGATCCGATGAAAGATTGGATATGCTTTGCTACTTATTTTAAGAGATGGATCATAAACATGTATTATTATACATATTGTCCGGACAACTTTTTAAAATATTTTTCAAGTTTCCAAATAAATTACAATTCTGGCTAAAATGACTGATATTTTCACTTTAAGAAGAAATAAAGTTGGTATATATATACGACTTTATTATACTTTCACAATTGTAACTCTACCGTAATTTCTTTTCGTTTGCAATGATTTCGGATGATTGTTAACTTCGTTTATATTAATGTAGGCTTAAAGGGCGGATTAGGGTTTTCTTGTTTTGTTTTTTGTTTTCTCTCAGTGTCCTTACTTTATACAAAAGCTAAGCATTTATTAGCTAAAAAAAAGATGGTGGATGCTAAATAAAAGCTCCTACGCTTACAAAACTTTTGTCGTGTGTATTAGTTTTATTTCTTACTTGCACTCCTTTCTTTATGTGTTATTTGTGTGAAACGGAATGAAAAAATTAAAATTAACTTTTGTTTGTGTTTCAGGCTGGATATTTACACAGCAAGCGTAACGACCAGTGGGTTCGACTTGATTATTTCCTCTTGGGATAACACTTATGTGTACGGCGCGTCAGCCCGCTATTTCGTCTTTGGTCAGGTCTAAACAGATCATTGCATACGAATCTTGAATGTAAGATGGTTTGAACTGTAATTTCCAACACAGAGTGTACAGCACATGTCTCTGACACGGAACGCAAACCTTACACATCCGAGTCGTTACGTTATGTATAACATGTGAGCATGACACACGATAACAAGGAGCAGAAAATTAATCATAAGATGCAGAAAGTTTATGGCGTTCCTCGTCACTGATTGTAAGGTCATTATGCATATAGCAAAGTTTTTCAAATTGTTGGGAATTTCATTTTTAACCTTTTTAGCAAGTTTCAGATAAACTTTCAGCCAAAATTAGATTTTCAAGAAAACTTAACAAGCTTTCGTGAGGAGTGGCTGCTGTGTTTTGATGTTTGAAATGCGCATTTTTCATACAATAACACTTATTGGTAGCGTATATTTGCTTGCCTATACGTATGTCTTGAAAACATCACCGCCAATTTTTTTTGAGTCTTGTAATTTTGTGTCTGATCTCTTTCGATAAAGAGTGCCGTGTTGCGATACTAAGGAATTGAGAATTGTTTAAAATTAGAATATCATTGTGTGGTACAGAAGTGCATTATGCTTCCTTCCTCAAAGACTAAGTCTGTTGAAATTATCAAAATGACCATGAAACTTCAGACATTGCCTTAATAACCGGTCTCCCTGGTAATATTTCTTTAAGACGAAAGTTATCTCCTCTGATGATCATTAATTTTCCAACTATTGACTATGTATTTTTTGACAGTGTGACTATATATATCTAATATATTAACGTTGTGAGTCTATGGGGTGTAATGGGTTTTAATGATATTTCTATTGTGGTTGTTGAAAAATGACTTTTGAAATTTCAAGAGTCCCGTTTTAGTTTGTATGCTGTGTATTTAAGTGTTTGGCGACAAAGTTGTTCTACTTTACTTCAGCAACTGCCTACAGTCGTTGTTTGTTTTTCTGTTGAATACAGCTGTTTAAAATCTTACGAATCGTCTCTGTTACTTTGCATTAGTAGCTGCAGGTTCAATTAATCTCTATAACCAGGTTTATATCTGGATACGGATAAAAATAGGAAACAGTAACTCGACACGCTTTACACTTAGTCTGCAATACATAAGAGTCACTAGTGGCAATCGTGGCAAACTTTTAAACAATTCTGGGATTCTTGGACACACTTTGTCTAACGGCGCTAATAAATTTACCTATTTTATTATCTGCAACTCCCCCTAAATGGAAGCAAATTGGTATTAAATATCTCGTGTCAGGTCTATCTGCTGAGTTACGAGCTTTTGTTAAATTTTTATTCATTTATTAATTTCACATCAGCAACTTTACATATCTGTATAACATTTTGAATTTTTAGTTGCCTTGTAACTTTTTCACTCGTGCTGTACATGTGAGAGTGCATGTATGTAAATTGTATAACTTAGATCCGTTATGTTTATATTTGTCTAAACTACTTACATGCCAAATATATGCAAAATGCGTCGATACTTTTATGACGTATATTTGAAAGATATAGACGTATCCCCTTTGAAAGATTGTAATAAAAATACTCCTGCGGTTGCAGAATAAGCAGCTTGGGAGAGCAAACATACACCACTTTTTTCTTGACATGGAAAACTGTGTGCCCTCAGGACCATATTCTGGACACAAGGTAAAAAAGACGGAATATTCTACTACTGTCCAAGGAACAGCATCCAGACAGTTAATCTACTCACACAAGACCAAATATCATTACAATTCATATAGGCATTTTTAAGTTATTTTTTCTTCTAACATGTAATCACGAGACGTGCATGGTGACAGTTGTTTTCAACTATCTTTCTTCTGCCACCAACACAATTCTCATCTTTACCTGAGTGAAGTGTCTTTCCTAAGGAAAGATCGGTGGCATGGCAGGATTTGAACCCGGGACCGCTTGGTTCCGAGTCGAGCACTCCGCCGTTACGCCACACAACTCCACTTAAGTTATGTTTAACACCAATATGGGGAAAACATAGGCACACGCTGACACACGTACAGACATGCACAATAGACAAATCAAGACAAATGTGGTCTGCCTAAATATTTATACCTCAACTGACCCCAACCATGTGTTGTACTTGGGGTATTAAGCTCTGGATACATTGGTTCGCAGCCCACGTACACTGCATATTAGACCAGAAAGCGGTTGGTTGAGGCCAGTTCAGGTATTTAGCCATACCGAGAAAAATCCCTGTATTTTTCACGTACGTAAAACCCCTTGGTGGTGGTGGCAATTACCCTCACATATCTTCACGTGTAGGTAAGTGTTTTAAGTTGTTGTACGATACCAAAGCGGCTAAGACACAAACGTTAACCAGCCTCCCCCCCCCCAAGGCGTTGCATTCATTTGTCATAATCAAGTTTCATAACATAGTTACTCGCAGGAGTATTGAACTGACCGCAGAATATTTCCACCAACATTTTGTGAAAGACACGTTTGTGAATTGAACGTCCTTGCCATATAATTACACAACAAAACATTTCCCATCCGCATTTGGTGGCCTCAAAATGACTGTAGGAAACACAAAGAAACGCTAGTTGTGTAAGCAGGTATAAACAGGTGGTGTGAACGAGTTCTCTCAATTTCGGGTCGGTGAAGAAGAAGGGCCGACACAGGCAGGCCTCAGCTCTACCCTCCGCCGTAAGGGTTCGTCCAAACATGGCTTTCTTCACCGTTGTTCTGGCGATGGTGCTGGCAGTCTCTCTGAGGTGGCCAGATGTACAGGCACAAGACTGCAAAGAAGTGACACTGTTGGAAGGCAAGTACTTTTTTCCTACAATGCAGTAAGATAAACAACAATGCGGTAACATAACAGTTGCACTACGGGCTAATTATTGGTTTACAGCAACTGCAAGGTTCTAGCTACATGTAGAGGTGCTGATGGTGGAAAGAAGATGCCGGTGTCGTTTTGAATGACTGGAAGTTGTTGTCAGTGATCAGGCCGACCACTTTGTCTGGGAGAATGTCCCAAATGTGTACTGCGCCACACTACTGTATCACACTAATATCCGTTATATTAAAAAGACCTTAAAGTCGTATTCCTGTTTGGTATGGAGAAACAAATTAATAAATCATTTGTTTAGAAAATTTTTTTTCCAACGTCTGCAAGTTCTCACAGTAAGATATGTCACAGCAAAATTATTTTCGATGTTAACGTTTGTATAAATTTTGCGAAATCTACGAGGAATCAGTGTTGTAGTCATTTGCAAAGAAATTAAATATTTATAGAAGGTGGTTTAAGTGACAGCCTTTTAGTATGTCATATCACGGTGTACTTACAATTTTTGTTGTTTCTTCTAACAGAGGATTTTGACGACCTAGCCGCAAGGGTGGACAGGCTTAATAACGAACTGAAGAGCTACAGGATAGCCTTGACAAAACTTAAGGTGAGAATGAAAGACACCACACACACACACACACACACACACACAACAATACACACAGAGCCAATTCGATCTCTACCGTCAAAGATCCGATTGGTGTTTCTGTTGACAAGAAATGTGTGTGTGTGTGACCACGGATTGGCCATGTGAGTCGCAAGTAACACATAAGAACCACATTTCGTCCTCACAGGCAACTGAGAGCAGCATTACCGATTTGACAAACATGGTGAACAGCCTCACTGACCAACTCCAGGAGACTGAAGGCTCGTTTTCAGCTATCCAACAAAAATTTGGGACGGTGAATGCCTCTCTGGTTCACCACCAGGCCGCAGTGTCTGCATTGGAATCCCAATGTACGGATGAAGTCGAAGGGCTGAAGCGTCGCCAGCAAGGACTTCAAGAAACCCTTCGAGAGTCCATTGATCAACTTGACTACGAGCTGTATGACCAAAAGCAACACTTCAATGCCACGCTTGAGAGCAATTTTCTGGAGCAAAGGGATGCGCAATACGTCCTTCGTCTGGAGTTTGAGGCGATGAAGACCGCTAGCGAAGAGCGCGAGGCGGCCGCGGAGGCACAGAAGGAGCAAGTTCTCGCCGATGCGCAGGCCGTGCTCGATGATACCTCCCAAGAGGATCGCGTGAGAGGTCTGGACGAACTCATCGCTGATCTACAGTCACAGATTGAAGCCCTGGATCAACAGATGACAGAACATCACAACGGAATGCAGTCCATCGAGCGATCTGTTCAGAACAAAACACAAGAAATCGGCGACTTGGACAACCGCCTTCAGGCTCAGCAGCAAGCGCAAGATTCTTTAGAAGGCGACGTACAGGTGTTGGAAGGTGACGTTGCAAACCTCGAAGCCGCTACACAGAATCTGCAAGAGCAAGGCACGGAGATAAGCGGTCAACTGGAGACTCAGGCCACTCTTCTTGATGAGCAAGAACAACGGCAGGGAACGATACAGGTGGCAATGGACGAACTAGCGGAGACCTTCCGCCAAGGGAACGAAGCTATGGATCAACGTCTGACTCAAGCCGAAACGAGGATAACTGCTTTGGAGGCAAACGGAGAGAGTGTCCGCGAGAGCATCACTACGATTGAGTCGGATGTCCAATCACTGAGCGGCAGCGTCAATACCGTAGAGCAACAAGTAGATGGTCAAGATGAAGCTTTACAGACACTGCAAGGAAACGTTGACAGTCTAACTGCACAACTCGAGACCGTTAACGACTCTCTCCAGCAGGCAGAACAACAGCAGGAAGGACTGCAACAGTCCTACGAAGGGTTGCAACAAGAGGTTCAACAACAAGAGAACAGAACAGAGGCGCGTATGCAGACCATCGAATCCGGACTAACCGGTCAGGGAAGTTCAGAGGGAGATGTTTCGGAGGGTTTGGCGTCTTTGCAGACTACAGTGGCAGGACTGCAAACTACCCTATCGGGGATGAACGACCAGGGAACTGGTTTCATCACAGAGGTACAAACCACACAGCAGTCGATCGCCAACTACGATCAGCGTATCCAAAGCGTGGAGGCGGCACTTGAAGACGCAGACCCACAGGCTTTACAACAAGAGATATCAGGCTACGTAGCATCGTCAGCTCAGCGTCTCGGAACGGTTGAAGCGAGTCTTGTCGCCGTGACCACATCTCTAGCGGCCGTTCAGTCAGAGATAGATCAGCTCGAAGAAACCGCCGATTCTGTGAGTGGTCTATCCAGTCAGATCTCCCAGCTCAATACACAGTCGCAATCCAACACCCAAACACTGACCGCCGCCGAGGCAAGCATTCAGCAGCTCCAAAACCAATACCAAACCCTCTCGGATCAGTCGGAAGCATTGGATGATGAGGTCACCAGGCTAGAGACGGGATTACAGGAGGCCATGACACAGCTGGCAGACGTGGCCACAAACGAGGAACTAACCCAACTCCGCGCGCGACTTACGGAACTGGGTACATCAGTGGACGGTCTGGAGACAGAAGTAGAAACCATGGAAACTGGGTCGGAAACCTTCGAAACCGAACTTCGGGACGACGTGGACGAAATCACCGAGACTGTGGAAGGGCATGGCACGACGCTGACCCAACTGGAGAGTAACGCGGGAGGCGATCTGAGCACGACTGTGGCCAGTTTGCGGAGTGACGTCTCCGGGCTCTCTACCACCGCCAGCCATCTGACCAGCCGGCTCAACAGTGCAGAGGCCTCAATGGCTAACTGGCAGAACGTCAACTGTAAGATACAATTTATTTTCCAATGTCCTAACTCTATCTATTTGGACTTTTATGCACACACTGTACGCGTGCATTCATGCTAGTCATATTCGATTTTCGATTTGTATTATCCAAAAAAAAGAGGTCAAAGTCAGTCAAAAGGTTTAGATTGTATTTTGGATGGAATAGTCAACTGTGATGAATAGAATAGAAATGTTCACATTTTTATTCAACATCTCTTTAGGATGTTAGCATATAAAATTTATTTTATGTCAGGCTGTAGGCTATACAGGGACATACGTAATTATTTCATAGGTGCTCTGAATTTCGACACACAATGTAAATAGTTAATAAAAGATTATCTATGTGTACATAATGACATCTCCTAACAATACTGCACAACAAAAATTCTGTGAGGTCGTACTCGTATATACATGTTTTAAAAAGAGGGAAGAAACACTAAGTAAACTTTATAATCAATGTTAACTTCATATACTGAATGACATACATCTGTATGTAGTGTAGCACTTATGTAGAAGTTTATACGACTCATGTATAGCTACATGTAATGCGCTTAGCCCTCATAAGCATGAATGTGCAAATAAACATCATTGTCATTGATAACACGAATTGTTTGTTGGTTTGATTTTCAGGTGAGAGTGGCATCAGGGTGCTCTCTCGGCAAGGGTATGGCACCAGCACGCGTGTGCACATCGACTTTACACGCACGTATACACAGGTTCCATCCGTCGTCCCCTCCATCACACATTTCGACACGTGGTCCGGAAACAACAACAGGTACGTTTTCTTTGTTGTTTTATTAGGCCACAGTAATTGTTATGGATGACGTCGGCGCGCGTATTAGTTTAAGCCTGTTTCCAGAAAAAAATAATAAAATTCCGCTTCCTGTAACTATGATCAAAGAGTCACGAGAGTGCCGCAAATCCTAAAATTAAAGTTAACCCGTAACGCAAAATATAAACATAAGACACAGCTCAGTACAACAACTTCTGTTACACTGAATTATTGCTGTTTTCATGAGGAATTAAAGACTTGTTGGGTGTTACTCTGTGTTCTCTTATTTAATTTGTCTCCTAACATTTGTCGTCCTTCAGAATATTTCAAATCTTTTTTTTTTCGGCCCTTCTTGTTTTATTTCGCCCTAAGCCTATCACAAAAGATCTAGGGTCTCCAGAGGACGCCATCCATAGAAATTACTTGTTGTGGCCTTATGATCTCCATTTGTGTTATATGTTCTTTTTTTTTCTAATTTAACACCTTTGTTGCATTATATTTGTTGAATTATATTATTCCACAGATCCGATGAAAGATTGGATATGCTTTGCTACTTATTTTAAGAGATGGATCATAAACATGTATTATTATACATATTGTCCGGACAACTTTTTAAAATATTTTTCAAGTTTCCAAATAAATTACAATTCTGGCTAAAATGACTGATATTTTCACTTTTAGAAGAAATAAAGTTGGTATATATACGACTTTATTATACTTTCACAATTGTAACTCTACCGTAATTTCTTTTCGTTTGCAATGATTTCGGATGATTGTTAACTTCGTTTATATTAATGTAGGCTTAATGGGCAGATTAGGGTTTTCTTGTTTTGTTTTTTGTTTTCTCTCAGTGTCCTTACTTTATACAAAAGCTAAACACCAAGTAAATTTTATGGATGACGTCCTTTGGAGACCCTAAATCTAATGCGAGAGGGCGAAAAAAAAACAAGAAGGGCCCTAAAAAACAAGATGCCTAGATAAGAAATATTGCACTGCTGACAGGACCGTCCTGTCTGTTAATAGTTCCAAAAACGGCACTGTTTTGGAACTATTAACAGGATTTTTTTCAGTGCCATTTTTTTTTCCATTTTTTTTTCCATTTTTCATCCAGGCACAGGCTTTCGGCGTTACGGGTTTCACATCAATCTGACGATTTGCGGCACTGTCGTGACTATTTGGTCATAGTTACAGGAAGCGGAATTTCTTGTTTTTTTTTCTAGGAACAGGCCAAAATCAATGCGCGCGCGAACGTCATCCATAAAATTTACTTGGTGTGGCCTTAGCTAAAAAAAAAGATGGTGGATGCTAAATAAAAGCTCCTACGCTTACAAAACTTTTGTCGTGTGTATTAGTTTTATTTCTTACTTGCACTCCTTTCTTTATGTTACCTGTTAATGTGTTATTTGTGTGAAACGGAATGAAAAAATTAAAAGCAACTGTTGTTTGTGTTTCAGGCTGGATATTTACACAGCAAGCGTAACGACCAGAGGGTTCGACTTGATTATTTCCTCTTGGGATAACACTTATGTGTACGGCGCGTCAGCCCGCTATTTCGTCTTTGGTCAGACCTAAACAGATCATTGCATACGAATCTTGAATGTAAGAAGGTTTGAACTGTAATTTCCAACACAGAATGTAAAGCACATGTCTCTGACACGGAACGCAAATCTTACACATCCGAGTCGTTACGTTATGTATAACATGTGAGCATGACACACGATAACAAGGAGCAGAAAATTAATCATAAGATGCAGAAAGTTTATGTCGTTCCTCGTCACTGATTGTAAGGTCATTATGCATACAGCAAAGTTTTTCAAATTGTTGGGAATTTCATTTTTAACCTTTTTAGCAAGTTTCAGATGAACTTTCAGCCAAAATTAGATTTTCAAGAAAACTTAACAAGCTTTCGTGAGGAGTGGATGCTGTGTTTTGATGTTTGAAATGCGCATTTTGTATACAATAACACTTATTGGTAGCGTATATTTGCTTGCCTATGCGTATGTCTTGAAAATATCACCGCCAATTTTTTTTGAGTCTTGTAATTTTGTGTCTGATCTCTTTCGATAAAGAGTGCCGTGTTGCGATACTAAGGAATTGAGAATTGTTTAACATAATTAGAATATTCTTGTGTGATACAGAAGTGCATTATGCTTCCTTGCTCAATGACTAAGTCTGTTGAAATTATCAAAATGACCATGAAACTTTAGACATTGCCTTAATAACCGGTCTCCCTGGTAATATTTCTTTTAGACGAAAGTTATCTCCTCTGATGATCATTAATTTTCCAACTATTGACTATGTATTTTTTGACAGTGTGACTATATATCTAATATATTAACGTTGTGAGTCTATGGGGTGTAATGGGTTTTAATGATATTTCTATTGTGGTTGTCGTCAACATTGTTGAAGAATGACTTTTGAAATTTCAAGAGTCCCGTTTTAGTTTGTATGCTGTGTATTTAAGTGTTTGGCGACAAAGTTGTTCTACTTTACTACAGCAACTGCCTACCGTCGTTGTTTGTTTTTCTGTTGAATACAGCTGTTTAAAATCTTACGAACCGTCTCTGTTACTTTGCATTAGTAGCTGCAGGTTCAATTAATCTCTATAACCAGGTTTATATCTGGATACGGATAAAAATAGGAAACAGTAACTCGACACGCTTTACACTTAGTCTGCAATACATAAGAGTCACTAGTGGCAATCGTGAGAACTCTACAACTTTTAAACAATTCTGGGATTCTTGGACACACCTTGTCTAACGGCGCTAATAAATTTACCTATTTTATTATCTGCAACTCCCCCTAAATGGAAGCAAATTAGTATTACATATCTCGTGTCAGGTCTATCTGCTGAGTTACGAGCTTTTGTTAATTTTTTATTCATTTATTGATTTCACATCAGCAACTTTACATATCTGTATAACATTGCAATTTTTAGTTGCCTTGTAACTTTTTTACTCGTGCTATACATGTGCAAGCGCATGTATGTAAATTGTATAACTTAGATCCGTTATGTTTGTATTTGTCTAAACTACTTACATGCCAAATATATGCAAAATGCGTCGATACTTTTATGACGTATCCCCTTTGAAAGATACAGACGCATCCCCTTTGAATGATTGTAATAAAAATACTCCTGCGGTTGCAGAATAAGCAGCTTGGGAGAGCAAACATACACCACTTTTTTTCTTGACATGGAAAACTGTGTGCCCTCAGGACCATAATCAGGACACAAGGTAAAAAAAGACGGAATATTCTACTACTGTCCAAGGAACAGCATCCAGACAGTTAATCTACTCACACAAGACCAAATATCATTACAATTCATATAGGCATTTTTAAGTTATTTTTTCTTCTAACATGTAATCACGAGACGTGCATGGTGACACTTAGTTGTTTTCAACTATCTTTCTTCTGCCACCAAAACAATTCTCATATTTACCTGAGTGAAGTGTCTTTCCTAAGGAAAGATCGGTGGCATGGCAGGATTTGAACCCGGGACCGCTTGGTTCCGAGTCGAGCACTCCGCCGTTACGCCACACAACTTCACTTAAGTTATGTTTAACACCAATATGGGGAAAACATAGGCACACGCTGACTCACGTACAGACATGCACAATAGACAAATCAAGACAAATGTTGTCTGCCTAAATATTTATACCTCAACTGACCCCAACCATGTGTTGTACTTGGGGTATTAAGCTCTGGATATATTGGTTCGCAGCCCACGTACACTGCATATCAGACCAGAAAGCGGTTGGTTGAGGCCAGTTGAGGTATTTAGCCATACCGAGAAAAATCCCTGTATTTTTCACGTACGTAAAACCCCTTGGTGGTGGTGGCAATTACCCTCACATATCTTCACGTGTAGGTAAGTGTTTTAAGTTGTTGTACGATACCAAAGCGGCTAAGACACAAACGTTAACCAGCCTCCCCCCCCCCCAAGGCGTTGCATTCATTTGTCATAATCAAGTTTCATAACATAGTTACTCGCAGGAGTATTGAACTGACCGCAGAATATTTCCACCAACATTTCGTGAAAGACATGTTTGTGAATTGAACGTCCTTGCCATATAATTACACAACAAAACATTTCCCATCCGCATTTGGTGGCCTCAAAATGGCTGTAGGAAACACAAAGAAACGCTAGTTGACGAATGTGTAAGCAGGTATAAACAGGTTGTGTGAACGAGTTTTCTCAATTTCGAGTCGGTGAAGAAGAAGGGCCGACACAGCCAGGCCTCAGCTCTACCCTCCGCCGTAAGGGCTCGTCCAAACATGGCTTTCTTCACCGTTGTTCTGGCGATGGTGCTGGCAGTCTCTCTGAGGTGGCCAGATGTACAGGCACAAGACTGCAAAGAAGTGACACTGTTGGAAGGCAAGTACTTTTTTCCTACAATGCAGTAAGATAAACAACAATGCGGTAACATAACAGTTGCACTACGGGCTAATTATTGGTTTACAGCAACTGCAAGGTTCTAGCTACATGCAGAGGTGCTGATGGTGGAAAGAAGATGCCGGTGTCGTTTTGAATGACTGGAAGTTGTTGTCAGTGATCAGGCCGACCACTTTGTCTGGGAGAATGTCCCAAATGTATACTGTGCCACACTACTGTATCACACTAAAAACCGTTACATCAAAGAGACCTTAAAGTCGTATTCCTGTTTGGTATGGAGAAACAAATTAATAAATCATTTGTTTAGAAAATTTGTTCCAACGTCTGCAAGCTCTCACAGTAAGATATGTCACAGCAAAATTATTTTCGATGTTAACGTTTGTATAAATTTTGGGAAATCTACGAGGAATCATATTTAAGTCATTTACAAAGAAATTAAATATTTATAGAAGGTGGTTTAAGTGACAGCCTTTTAGTATGTCATATCACGGTGTACTTAGAATTTTTGTTGTTTCTTCTAACAGAGGATTTTGACGACCTGGCCGCAAGGGTGGACAGGCTTAATAACGAACTGAAGAGCTACAGGACAGCCTTGACAAAACTTAAGGTGAGAATGAAAGACATCACACACACACACACACACACACACACACACACACACACACAGAGCCAATTGGATCTCTACCGTCAAAGATCCGATTGGTGTTTCTGTTGACAAGAAATGTGTGTGTGTGTGTGTGTGTGTATGTGTGTGTGTGTGAATTAATAACTTAAATTTGTTCAATGTACGAGTACCACGGATTTGCCATGTGAGTCGCAAGTAACACATAGGAACCACATTTCGTCCTCACAGGCAACTGAGAGCAGCATTACCGATTTGACAAACATGGTGAACAGCCTCACTGACCAACTCCAGGAGACTGAAGGCTCATTTTCAGCTATCCAACAACAATTTGGGGCGGTGAATGCCTCTCTGGTTCACCACCAGGCAGCAGTGTCTGCCTTGGAATCCCAATGTACAGCTGAAGTCGAAGGGATGAAGAGACGCCAGCAAGGACTTCAAGAAACCCTTCGAGAGTCCATTGATCAACTTGACTACGAGCTGTATGACCAAAAGCAACACTTCAATGCCACGCTTGAGAGCAATTTTCTGGAGCAAAGGGATGCGCAATACGTCCTTCGTCAGGAGTTTGAGGCGATGAAGACTGCTAGCGAAGAGCGCGAGGCGGCCGCGGAGGAACAGAAAGAGCAACTTCTTGCCGATGCGCAGGCCGTGCTCGAGGATACTTCTCAAGAGGATCGCGTGAGAGGTCTGGACGAACTCATCGCTGATCTACAGTCACAGATTGAAGCCCTGGATCAACAGAAAATAGAGCATCACAACGGAATGCAGTCCATGGAGCGATCTGTTCAGAACAAAACACAAGAAATCGGCGACTTGGACAACCGCCTTCAGGTTCAGCAGCAAGCGCAAGATTCCTTAGAAGGTGACGTACAGGTGTTGGAAGGTGACGTTGCAAACCTCGAAGCCGCTACACAGAATCTGCAAGAGCAAGGCACGGAGATAAGCGGTCAACTGGAGACTCAGGCCACTCTTCTTGATGAGCAAGAACAACGGCAGGGAACGATACAGGTGGCAATGGACGAACTAGCGGAGACCTTCCGCCAAGGGAACGAAGCTATGGATCAACGTCTGACTCAAGCCGAAACGAGGATAACTGCTTTGGAGGCAAACGGAGAGAGTGTCCGCGAGAGCATCACTACGATTGAGTCGGATGTCCAATCACTGAGCGGAAGCATCAACACCGTAGAGCAACAAGTAGATGGTCAAGATGAAGCTTTACAGACACTGCAAGGAAACGTTGACAGTCTAACTGCACAACTCGAGACCGTTAACGACTCTTTACAGCAGGCAGAACAACAGCAGGAAGGACTGCAACAGTCCTACGAAGGGTTGCAACAAGAGGTTCAACAACAAGAGAACAGAACAGAGGCGCGTATGCAGACCATCGAATCCGGACTAACCGGTCAGGGAAGTTCAGAGGGAGATGTTTTGGAGGGTTTGGTATCTTTGCAGACTACAGCGGCAGGACTGCAAACTACCCTATCGGGGATGAACGAGCAGGGAACTGGTTTCATCACAGAGGTACAAACCACACAGCAGTCGATCGCCAACTACGATCAGCGTATCCAAAGCGTGGAGGCGGCACTTGAAGACGCAGACCCACAGGCTTTACAACAAGAGATATCAGGCTACGTAGCATCGTCAGCTCAGCGTATCGGGACGGTTGAAGCGAGTCTTGTCGCCATGACCACATCTCTAACGGCCGTTCAGTCAGAGATAGATCAGCTCGAAGAAACCGCCGGTTCTGTGAGTGGTCTGTCCAGTCAGATCACCCAGCTCAACACACAGGCGCAATCTAACACCCAAACACTGACCGCCACCCAGGCAAGCATTCAGCAGCTCCAAAACCACTACCAAACCCTCTCGGATCAGTCGGAAGTGTTGGAGGCGGATGTCACTAGGCTAGAGACGGGATACCAGGAGGCCATGACACAGCTGGCAGACCTGGCCTCAAACCAGGACGTAAACGAAGTCCTTGCTCGAATTACAGAACTGGATACAGCCGTGGACGGTCTGGAGACAGAAGTACAAACCATGGAAACTGGGTCGGAAACCTTCGAAACCGAACTTCGGGACGACGTGGACGAAATCACCGAGACTGTGGAAGAACAGGGCACGACGCTGGCCCAACTGGAGAGTAACGCGGGAGGTGATCTGAGCACGACTGTGGCCAGTTTGCGGAGTGACGTCTCCGGGCTCTCTACCACTGCCAGCCATCTGACCAGCCGGCTCAACAGTGCAGAGGCCTCAATGGCTAACTGGCGAAACGTCAACTGTAAGTTACAATTGGTTTTCCTGTGCTCTACTTCTGTCTATTTCGACTTGCATACAAACAATGTACGCGTACATTGCTACTAGGTTATGAATTCTTTACCAGTTTGGATCACCGTGTTTATGACTCATATAGTGACCTGTATCATGTAAATAAGTACGAAAACATAATATTATCTTTACGTACGAGGATGGTTCAATGAATACGTCCTTTGAAAATAATCATGTAAGCTACAAAGAGAATTTGCAAAGGTGTGAAAATTCAGTCTCCTACAATAACATTAAAGTGGGTCTGAGGAATCTTTATTCAACATCTCTTGTACGATATTAGAAGATAAAATTCATTTTATGTTGGACTTTGGGATTTACAGGGACATACATAATTCTTTTATAGGTGCTCTGAATTTAGACACACCATTTAAATACTTAGTAAAAGATTATTTACTTGTGTATATTATGCCATCCCTACAAATACTGGAAAACTAAAACTCTGTGAGTTCGTATATTCTATTTTAAAAAGAGGGAAGTAAACTATACAATCAATGTTAGCCTCATATACTCAATGACATCCAGCTGTATGTACATGTAGTGTAGCACTTCTATAAAATACGACTTGTAAAACCACTGAGCTTAAGCCATTGGGTATGAATGTGCAAGTAAACATCATCATCATTGATAAAACCAAGGTAAAGGAATTGCTCTTGATTGTTGGTTTAATTTTCAGGTGAGAGTGGCCTCAAGTTGCTCCCTTGGCAAGGGTTTGCCACCAGCACGCGGGAGTACGTCGGCTTTACGCGCACTTACTCACAGGTTCCATCCGTCGTCCCCTCCATAACAAAGGTCGACTCGTGGGCCAGTGCAAACGACAGGTAGTTTTTTCTTTGTTGCTTTATTGGGCAACAGTAATTTTATGGATTACCTCATTGACGTTGACCTTTTTTCAGAAAAAAAGCAAAAAAAAAATCGCTTTATGTAACTATGACCAAAATTTCATAAGAGCGACGCAAATTGTAAAATTAAAGTTCACCCGTGACGCGAAATTTTCCAACTGTTGTTTGTGTTTCAGGCTGGATGTTTACACAGAAAGCGTAACGACCAGAGGGTTCTACATGATTATTACCTCTTGGGCAGACACTTGGGTGTACGGCGCGTCAGCCCGCTATTTCGTCTTTGGTCCGGCCTAACAAATCATTGCATACGAATCTTGAATGTACGAAGGTCTGAACTGTAATTTCCAACAAAGAATGTACAGCACATGTTTTGACATGGAACGCAAATCTTACACATCCGAGACAATACGTTGTACATGACATGTGAGCATGACACGTGATTTGATTGCTTGCTTAATGACTAAGTCTGTTGAAATTATCAAAATGACCATGTAACTTCAGACATTGCCTTAATAACCGGACTCGGTGGTTATATTTCTTTAAGACGAAAGTTATCTCCTCTGATGACCATTAATTTTCCAACTATTGACTATGTATTTTTGACAGTGTGACTATATATCTAATATATTAACGTTGTGACGTTATGGAGGTGTGATTGGTTTATATGATATTTCTAGTGTTGTTGTCTTCAACATTGTTGAAAAATGACTTTTGAAATTTCAAGTGTGTTGGTGACAAGGTTGGTGACTGTACTTTACTATAGCAACTGCCTACAGTCGTTGGTTGAGTACAGTTGTTTAACATCTTACGAACCGTCTCTGTTGCTTTGCATAGTAGCTGCAGTTTTAATTAATCTCTACAACCAGGTTTATATCTGGATACGGATAAAAATAGGAAACAATTAAACTTACTAGGCTTTACACTTAGTCTGCAGTACATAATAGTCACTAGTGGCAATCGTGAGAACTCTACAACTTTTCAACAATTCTGGGATTCTTGGACACACCTTGTCTAACGGCGCTAATCAATTTACCTATTTTTTATCTGCAACTTCCTCTAAATGGAAGCAAATTGGTATTAAATATCTCATGTCAGGTCTATCTGATGAGTTACGAATTCTTGCTAAACAAATTTTTATTCATTTCTTTATTTCACAAAAGCTACTTTAATTATCTGTATAACATTTTCAATTTTTAGTTGCCTTGTAACTTTTTCACTCGTGCTGTACATGTGAGAGTGCATGTATGTAAATTGCATAACTTAGATCCATTATGTTTATATTTAGCTAAGCTACCTGCATGATTCGCAAAATTTATGCGAAATCCGACGATACTTTTATGACGTATCCCCTTTGAAATATTGTAATAGAATACTCCTGCATTGCAGAATAAGCAGCTTGGGGGAGCAAACATACATCACTTTTTCTTGACATGGAAAACTGTGTGCTCTCAGGACCATATACAGAACACAGGGTTAAAAGACGGAATATTCTACGACAAGAAACAGCATCCAGGCAGTTAATACCTACCCACACAAGACCAAATATCATTACAATTCATATAGGTCTTCTTAAGTTATTTTTTCTTACTAACATGTAATCACAAGACGTGGTGACACTTGGTTGTTTTCAACTATTTTCATTCTGCCACCTACACAATTCTCATCTTCACCTGAGTGAAGTGAGGATATTCGTGTAAAGTGCCTTTCCCAAGGGTACAAGATCGGTGGCATGGCAGGATTTGAACCCGGGACCTCTTGGTTCCGAGCCGAGCACTCTATCGTTACGCCACACGACCCCACTTAAGTTATGTTTAACAACAATATGGGGAAAACGTGGGCACACGTCGACACACGTACAGACATGCACAATAGACAGGCCAAGATAAATGGGGTCTGCCTAAATCCCTCAACCGACCTGAACTAGGCATAATTTGTGTTGTACTTGGTTTAGAAAGCTCTGGATACATTGTCTATGCAATTATAACTGCTTACGAGTTGTTGTTTTTTTCAACATAACTTCTGATATAAGTGGAGCAAATTTCTAAAGGATTGAGTTATCGTCTTGTTGTTGGGAGCGATACATGTACTCACGGGCCGCAAAATATCCGCCCCCAAGTATTCACTAAATACACCACTGGAATTATGTTTAAAGAGGTTTTCCTGTATGTCTGCTAAGTTTCCGTGCTGCACAATTTTTTTTTACTTTCCTTATTTTGACAAAATTCACGGCACGGTGCGTTCCGGTGGCTCGACATGAATAAAAAAAAAGATGGCGGACCCCGGGCACACGGCACGCCGTACAAAAACTGGTCAAAAACGTCAGAGTTACAGCTTTTTTTCCTATTCAGAATTGCTAAGAAAATGTATCAATAGTTTTAAAAAAAGGGTTCGCAACCCATGTACACTGCATATTAGACCAGAAAGCGGTCAGTTGAGGCGGTTTGAGGTCGGTTGAGGTATTTAGCCATACCGAGAAAAATGCCTGTATTTCTTACGTACGTAAAAACCCTTGGTTGTGGTTCGCAATTACCCTCACATATCTCCACGTATAGGTAAGTGTTTTAAGTTGGTGTACGATACCAAAGAGGCTAAGACACAAAAGTAAGCAGGCCTTTCCCTCCCCCAAGGCTTTGCATTCATCTGTCATAATCAAGTGGCATAACATGGTTACTCGCCAGTGTATTGAACTGACGGCAGAATATTTCCACGAACATTTCGTGAAAGACATGCTTTGTGATTTGAAAGGCTTTGCCATGTAATCACACAACAAAACATTTCCCATCCCCATTTGGCAGCCTCAAAGACTCAAAATGACTGTAGGAAACACAAAGAAACGCTTACCTCCAAAAGGTCAACACTTGCGTGCGTGGTTTGTCTGACTCCTTGATTGAAAATCACAGGTAATCAACAGCTTTAATTGAATTTAAATGTCCTGATTACAGGGACTCCCGGGTTGTGTTAGCAGGTATAAACAGGTTGTGTGAACGAGTTCTCTCAATTTTGGGTCGGTGAAGAAGAAGGGCCGACACAGGCAGGCCTCAGCTCTACCCTCCGCCGTAAGGGCTCGTCCAAACATGGCTTTCTTCACCGTTGTTCTGGCGATGGTGCTGGCAGTCTCTCTGAGGTGGCCAGATGTACAGGCCCAAGAATGCACGTCCCTTGAGGAATTAAAATGTAAGTACTTACTCCACTAATAAAGCCATAAAGAAGAGACTACCTGAAAGTATTTATGCTTGGCACACATGTTTAAAACATTGGTTACCACAATTTGTTCAACATGTAACGTCTGGTGACAATTACACATCATAACAAATACTCTAATATTCTAAATCTGTAATAAGATTCGCTTGTCATTCTGTACAATACAGTAAATATACTTCGCTTGTTTGTAGTGTTTGTATTATTAGGATTTTCTTCAGTGTTGCACAATTTTCACATTATTATTCCTGTAGTCCAAAAGGGTGAGGTAAATCCAGGGTAGCTAATATGAGACGGGGGTTACCAGGCCTACTTTTGAATGGTTTGTTGTGGAAAATATCTCCAACTTCCAGATATCGATAGTACATTTCGTCCATAGCTTTTTTGAAAGGTTTGGTGGATTCCTAACACGAGACCTGCATTTAACGTTCTATTCCACGGACATCCCTAACTAAAGCTAGGTACTTATTTTCACTAGAGTGAAATAAGACATGTTATATAAAGTGCCTTTCCCAAGGGCACAACTTTGGGGCATGTTGGTGGATTTGAACCCAGGACCTATAGTCTTTAGGCGGAACACCCAACCTTCACGCCCCACGATCCCGTATTCCCATACGATCGCTAAAAAGCAACTAGTTTGTTCGCCGATTGATAAATCTATAAGAGGAATAACTTCCGAAATAACTGTTATAACTGTATGAATAATAAATAAGAGGCACAGGCGGCTTGGATATCTTCCTAGTGATGCGGTGTTTTTAATCAAGAGGCTTTTGATAAATCATACATTGACTGAATATCGCGTTGTACTTACAGCTTTATTTTTTTCAACAGCGGAGTTTGACCAACTGTCCTATAGGGTGACAAGGCTTTCAGAACAACTGAAGAGCTACAGGACAGCCTTAATAAAACTGAAGGTGACAAACTTTCCTACAAGTAGATAAGGATTTTATGTGAAAGTATATAATATATATATATATATATGTCATATACGTGTATTCTTTCATGCAATCAGAACTGAATCCTTTACTTCCTAACTTAAATTTGTTCAGTTTATTCAAACTCTTTTTACTCGTTACTCATTTTTCTTTTACCTACTTTGTAATCATGTATGTATTGTGTTATACTCTCGTTTTATGTTTTGGAGTAGAAGGCGTCACATAAGCAATCTGTGCTCAATAAATATATGTGAATAAATGAAATTTGTTCAACAATGTACAACGGAATCTGTCATGTGGGACTTCGCAGATGACGAATTTGGACCTCTTTTCCGTTTCTGTAGGAAACCGAATTGAGCATTGACGGCTTGACAAACATGGTGAACAACCTCAATGACGGACTGCAGGAGATTCAAGAGGCGTTTTCGGTCATCGAAGAGGACTTTGGGACGGTGAATGCCTCTCTGACTCAGCTCCGGACCCAACTGTCTGACGTAGAATCCGACTGCACGGCTGAAATCGAACTGCTACAGGAGCAACAACAAGAACTTCAAGATCTTCTTCGAGAGTCCATGGATGAATTTGAATACCAGCTGAATGACCAAAAGGAACACTTCAATGCCACGCTTGAGAGCCAAAAGCAGGAGCAAACCGATGCACAAAATGCCCTTCTGGAAGAGTTTCAGGAGCTAAACGCTGCTAGCGAAGAGCGTGAAGAGCAAGCAAAGGAACAGTTGGAGCAAGTTATCGCCAGTACGCGGGAGGCGCTTGATGATACCACTCAAGAGACTCACGTGACGGCTCTCGAGGCGCTCATCGACCGTCTAGAGGCACAGATTCAAGACCTGAGTCGACAGATGACCAATCATGAAACAGGGATGCAGTCCATCGAGCAGTCTGTTCAAACCAAAACACAGGAGATCGAAGCACTGGACAACCGCCTTCAGGAACAGCAGCAAGACCAAACTTCAGTACAAGGCAACCTCGAGACTATACAAACTAACGTTGCATCCCTCGACTCGGATACACAAAATTTACAAGAGCAACGCGCGGAGACAGCTGGTCAGCTTGAGACCCGAGGGTCTCAAATCGATGAAGAAGTACAAGAGAGTGAGGCCATGCAGGCGGCATTAAACGATCTTGAAGACACCTTCCGTCAAGACAACGAAACAGCGGAGCGACGACTGAGTCAAGCCGAAGCGAGGGTAGACGCTTTAGAGGCGGACGGAGCGAGTGTTCGGGAATGGTTCAACACGATTGTGTCTACTGTCCAAACACTGAGCGGCAGCGTCACCACCGTAGAGCTACAAGTAGACCAACAATATTCGTCACTACAGACCATACAAGAAGACGTTGCAAATCAAGCTGAAGAAGTGCAGAACATCGACAACTCTCTCCAGCAGGCGGTACAACGACAGGGGCAACTGCAACAGTCCTACGAAGGCCTGCAACATGAGGTAGAACAACAAGGGGACAGAACAGAGGAACGTATGCGGACCATCGAAACTGAACTAAACGCCCAGGGAAGTTCAGGGGGAGATGTTTCGGAGGGTTTGGAGGCTTTGCAGGCTACAGTGGCAGGACTGCAAACTAGCCTGTCGGAGGTGACCGACCTGGGAACTGATTACATGGCAGAGATACAAACCACACAGGAGACGATAGACAGTTTCAATCAGCGCCTCCAAGACGTGGAGGCGGCAGTTGAAGGAGTCGACGCTCAGGCGCTACGACAACAGATAGAAGACAACGAAGCCACGTCAGCTACACGTTTTGGAACGGTCGAAGCAACTATTGCTACCATCGACACCTCTCTAGCAGCAGCTCAGTCGGACATAGCGCAGCTCGAAGCAACCGCCGGTTCTGTGAGTGGTCTGTCCGGTCAGATCTCCCAGCTCAACACACAGGCGCAATCCAACACCCAAACACTGACCACCACCCAGGCAAGCATTCAGGCACTCCAAAACCAATACCAAACCCTCTCGGAGGATTCAGACGTGTTTGAGTCGGTAGTCGAGGTGCTAGGGACACGCTACCAGGGAGTGCTGACACAGTTGGGTGACGTGGCCGACACCCAGAACATTGCCGACGTACGTGATCGACTTGTGGCATTGGATACAGAAGTGGACGGACTGGAGGCAGATGTACAAGCCATGCGAAGTGATTCCACAACCTTCCAAACCAGCCTACGGAACGACGTTAACCAGCTCACCACTACCGTGCAAGGCCATGAAGTGACGATCAACGAACTGGAAAATGCCGATGATCTGAGCACAACGGTTGCCACTCTGCAAACCGACGTCGACGGGCTCACTTCCACCCGGTCTTCCCTCTCCTCACGGATCACCAGCGCACAGAGTACCGCTTCCAACAAGAACAACATCGTTTGTAAGTTCTAACAGTTTTTTAAACCTTGCAGACATACATATAATGTTGCCTTAATGACATTGATATTTACAATATAAAAATAAACACATATATGAACTGTGCACCCTAGCCATTAATCACAAGTACCATTCTGATTATACAGTCTGATAGACTGATGTAGGAAATAGTTCTAAAGTCTTTTTTTGTTCTGTCTGGGAGGTTAAATATGGTGTTTTTGTTACTGAGAGAACGTCCAGTAGCTGATAATCTAGAGACAGGGACAAGGTCATGTAGAGCCAGGGGGTGGTCTGTTGTCACTTTTGCAAAACAAAACTCGTGTCTGTTTCTTGGTTGCTTTCCTTGCCTTTTAGTTTAATGAGGGGTTGAATGCATATTCCTTTGAAAATAAGAATGTGGCTATAAAATTACATCACCCTACTATAAAGTAAAAGTGGGCTATTGACAATTTCTTGCATGCTGTATGTAACGATGAGAAGATTAAGATAATCATTGCTTTTGTTTGATTTACAGGTGAAACAGGTGAGCATCAACTCGGCTATACCAGGGGAGGGAGCACCACTCGGCGCTTCTATTTCGCAAATTCATTCACAGAGAATCCAACCGTCACAGCCGGCTTCAAAGTTATTGACTCAGCCCACAACACAAACAACAGGTACGTTTTTAATCTTACATCTTCGTTACTAATAGATGAAAATAATAATTTAAAAAGAAAAGCACATGCATTTTTGTCATATCTGTTTCCTCGAGCTCGGATTCGATACAGATCCAAATAGTAATTAAGATTGTTTTGCTATTGCTTTTATGAAACGGATCATAAACATACATGAGAATTGTTTAAAGTAAAATTATAATTTTGTCGGATGTTATGCCGTAAAAATGTAACATTTTCCTTATTGTTGAAAACAGTTTGATATCACTTAATATGAGTGCCTAGGCATTCGTTGTCTCTTGTTGTGAACATCATTCATCATTCATCTATATTCTAAAACTGCTAATTATCTTGAATAGCAAAGTTCTTTGATCACAACCATTTATTTTTACGAGCCAAAATAAATGGTTGTGATCAAAGAACTTTGGTATTCATTCGTTTACCAACCTGATGAAATTATCTACGGATGTTATTTATCTTTCAGGGCGGAAGTAGTACCACGAGATATAAGCAGAGGTTCAGTCGAGTTGTATATTCGCACTTGGTCCGACACTGAGGTATGGACACTGAAAGCCCAGTGGCTTGCCTGTGGCAAGATATAGAGCAAACCGAGCATGTGATACGAGTCTAAACTGTACGCAGGTTTTAATTACGTCTAACAAACGAATGTTATGTGACTCAATTTTCTGAATACACATTATCAGTTCTTAATACAAAATGTACAGTCTACCACTTCCGTGACATCACATTGTACAGAACACTTGGCTATGTAACTCCGAGAAGCAGGGTAGCATAAGTTGCGGAAACTTTATAGCGCCCTCCGTCTCGGTGGGGTGGTTGTAAGGCCCTAGTGCCTATAACTTGATATTTCAAACTGTTGGAAATTGTAGTTTAAACCTGCTTCAGAATAAACTCACCCAACTGGATTTTGTTAAACAAAAACTTAACATTTCATGATGAGTGCTTGCTGTGCTTTGATATTTGAAAATCCACAATTTTTGTTGAAATATCAAACACTTATTGGTGAAATACCATCAAAGATGTTTGCTTGTTTGATATGTCTTGAAATCGACGTGTTTTTTTCTGTTGTATTTTGTACTTGATCTATTTTGATAATGAATGCCGTGTTACGATACTAAGGAATTGAGAATTGTCTAACATTAGAATATTCTTGTGTTATACAGAATTGCAGTGTGCTTCCTTGCTCAAAGGTTGTTGAAATTATCAAAATGACCATGTAACTTCAGACATTTTCTTAAAGACTTAGTCTCTATGGAAACATTTCTTTAAGACGAAAGTTATCTCCGCTGATGATTACTAATTTCCCAACTATTAACGATGTATTTTTGAGAGTGTGACTATATTTCTAATATATTAACGTTGTGAGGCTATGGAGGTGTACTTAATGGGTTCATATGATTTTTTAATCAATAACGGTCACTGTAAATTTTAAAAGGGTACCAGTAATTGTTATTGCTGTTCAATATTATTGTCACCTATTTGTAAACCTGCATGTCATATGACAACAGTAAAAATGCTACAGTGGCAAACAAGCTCTATCATACACGATACATATTTTACACAGCGTCTACTAAGCTAACAACAGAAATGCATTGTCTTAAACATGGTTGGAAATCACTTAAATTTTCAGTGACCGATTTTAGTTTGTATGCTGTGCATGTTTGTTTTTGACGACAATGTTGGCTTACTTTACAGCATTGATGAGTGCTCACATATTTGTTGTTTTACCGTACAATACAGTTATTTGAAAACGTACGAACTGTTTCTGTTGTATTATTTTATCTTATCACAGTTACTTTACCACTGGCTACATTCTATATTCATCGATTGTAGCTCACCACATCCCTTTATTTATTTATTTATCTATAGCTACTGATTCTGCATGGATCACTTCATCCAAGCTGGACTGGTCCCCATTAGAATCAGAATACACAAAACACAAACATATGTGTGATATATATGTATAGCTAAAATTAACGCCATTTTATAAGCACAGTGTACAGTGAGCAATAATTACAATGAATCATAAATTTAGTAACGTTACATCATAGTGGACAGACGGAAACATCGTTAAAACATATTTATGAAACACACTCAATTCTAAACAATCCCCAATAGTTACTTCTTGTACGAGAGGATGTCAAAGGAATATGATAGAGCAAAAAGCTATAGGACCTATGTGTAAAATGTGATTCCCAGCGCACAACATTAGGCGGGCTTAGGAATCGAACCAGAAATCTCGTTTCCCGTCGGCTGAACAGACAATCACGTGACCCCTACCCTGATACTAATTATTCCGCCCCTTTACCCTCTGACCCTTCCTCCCTAACCCTCGTAAGGGTCATTCGTGGCTCAACCTTTCTCTGTACGGTCACATTCCCGCCCAACCCTCCCATCCCATCCCATCCGAGAACACCTGAATTCTAGGACGTTAGTTATGTTTCTCATCTCACGACATCGCGCTACCTTAGTTCTTACTTACTGACTTATCTAGACTCGTACATTTCGTCATAGCACTGTACGTTATCCTCAATGGTACCTGCGACATAGCGTACGTAATCAGTTGTTACATAACCTTCATGTTGTCTCTTCTCTGCAAGATACCTGCCTTGCTAGCGTTCACAGTCACATTGTGGCCAATTGCTGTACTCAGTATGTTGTGTAGTTGTAACCTCTGATATACTCCAGAATTGTGTTATTGTCGTAATTTTTGAACCACGTTACTTACGAAGGTCAGTAGTTTTCAGGTGTACCTGTAACGCATTATTTGCTTAGCCAGGATGTTTTCGACCTTGTTCACGCAGATGAGCTTTTGAACTTCGCCGGTTAGAAGTTACTTACAAGTCAGGATGCGTTAAACATCCGCTGGACAGAGCCTTGGTTTAACCGACCAGCCCGACTTTGGCTAAACAATTGGCAACCAGGGTAAAATAGGTCGCCAGCTCGCAGCACATGACTTGTTGTTGTTGTATTAGGCTCCTGTATAAGTATGTACATGCTATGAGAGCTACAATGTGTAGAGAGTAATGGTGTTACTGAGTTGAGGAGCCAATTGCAATAAATGCCCGACCGTACTAAGGTGACGGTGAGCTCACTACCCTAATTGTGTGTGTTTGTCTGTGAAATAGACGGGAAACATAGTTCTCTTCGGAGCTTGCGAAGAAGAGAACGTTTAGATTAAACCACGAGACCACCTTTCCACTTGCAAATCTTTGTTTACAGAATCTCGTCAAGAGTATAACAGCGGTGGAACATATCTCCTCACTGTTGACTACCATAGCCATTATACATAAGCCATGTTTGGGCAAAACGCCATGTTTGGGCCAAACAGACAGCCAAGAAATTAGGGTCTGTCAAATTGCTCAAAATTAGAGATAATTGCTACTTTGAATTAAAAATCGGTCCAGGGGAGAGGATCTGATTTAATTACCTTGGTTGGGGACGTCCTTTTCTTCTGACAACAATGCCTAAGCAACGCGTGGTATCATGTGGTTAAACACAACTGTAAATGAGTTAAACAAACATCATGATGAAGTGTGACCTTCCAATGGCCTTGACATCTTCAGATGAATGAAAATAATTATTCCTCACCAAAACTCAAATTAAATTACATCCCGGGTTGATTAGCAACATCCTGGGGTGTAAGGAATGTGCTTGATTAAAACAGACTTTGTTAAGGAGGTTTTTAAAGCACGTTCCGCAGGGTGAGAGTCAGAAGAGAGACGGCATCTCGACCAGATAACACCATGTTGGCATCAGTGTGCTTCCTGGTGCTTCTGGTCATTTGCACCGGACCACAAGATGTAGCCTCCAAGGCACCAAAAGGATCAGTAGACAGAAAGGCATTTGTAAACTTGGCAGGTTAGTCTTTCTTTTATTTGCCTTCCTTAAAAGATTTGGCTACATATATTCATATATTATTGGCAGTCTTCAGGTCTTTCGTTAGTTACTGTTATTTTCAAAGCTACTCTACTCCTAATACAAGATTCGCTCTCTTGAATCTCTTGTGTCTCCCATCTTATATATATACTGCAGCTGCTATTAAATATGTTCTACTAATTAGTGGGATGTTTTAGGAATCCAGTGCAATTTCTTGTATAAAACAAATATATACATTGGGATAGTGCTGTTTCAACTTGTATGTCTTAGAATATTGAATTTGCAAAATCTGGTTTCCAAGCCCTAAAAACTTCATTGAATGCATTAAAATGTGACATGTTTTAATAGTATAGTCTCTTCTCTTATATTGAATGAATTGTGATATATTGTACATCCATTGATATACCCTTGAAAGAATTTATGATGACAGTAATGCAGATAAATCAAAGGATTATTCAAACATCTCTTTCTAACATAGTTATTCTACATTACTTCAGGAACTTTGAAGAAGCTGGACACTGTCGTTGGAGGTCTCGAGAGGCAACACGCGACTTATCAACAGGCATGGTCAAAACTAAAGGTATGCAACAGACAGGTTTATAATAATCTAATGTACGCTCGTATCTACTGAAAAATATTTGTGGTCAGTAAATGTCACATGCTGCAAAACGTGTTAATTGTGCGATCGGACAAAGCTACGCAATGTACTGTACAATAAAAGGCAGTCAGCCGAGGCAATGTTAAAGTCTTTGTTTACTGTTATTTTCTAAGTAGCTAAGATAAACTCCATATACAAAATCCGCTCTTATGATCTGCCATCTGGCATCTTCCCAAGGCATTATGATCTGTCAGTCAAGAGTTTCTTCTTGAAAGTCCTTTCTTTCTTGGAAGGCCCCCTTCACACTTAAAGTCTTATCCCATACTTTATTATATTATTCCCGAATCCCCCAAGTGTACATCTAGACTTTATATGGAATTCAATTGTTTAAAATCATTATGTCCTCCATCTTTTACACGTGTCAAACGTTTGAGAGCTTATTGTTTCATGTATCCGTCTAGTACTCTTGGTTTCATTCAATACGGTTATTAATTTTTGGACTGTTGTGTCTGGTCTCAGGCTATGGAAGCCGGTGTCACAACACAAGAGCACACGATGAAAAGGATACGGAACGGCCTCGGCACCCTAGGGCCTCAGGTGGTCACCCTGGGGGCATCCATTGACAACTTGAACGTCAGCTTGACACGAGAAAAGGAAAGCCTGGACCGTCTGGACGAAGAAGTGAACGACGGACTGCGCGAAACGAAAGAGGATCTCGGCACAGATGCGCGCAACGTTGAGGAACAACTCGGAGAAATCAACCAAGGTATTGACGACCAGAAGCGAAGGTTCCCTCAGTTGCTACGCCAGGAAGCGGAGCGGCAGTCTGAAGTTAGAGACGACTTCCGACAGCAACTTGGGGGGTACCAAGACGCGAGGCAAGAAACACAGACGGAGATAGAAGGACTTATCGAAACAGTCAACTCGCTAGTTGCCGCCCTGAGGTCGAAGGACGAGGCGTTGGACGCCCGCGTGGCAGCGCTACAAACCCGGGTCCGGGCAATGACTCAGGACGTTGCTGGTCTCGGTGAGCAACTTTCGGGGCTGCGTTTACAACTGGAGACACAAGAAACCACCCTAAGCGTAGAAGGGGAAAATCTCGTGACCGCCGGTAACACCCTCGAAAATCAGGTGCAGCGGTTTGGTCAGATTCAAGATCTCTTGGAGACCATTCAAGCAACGGTCGAGGCGCTCAACGTCAGAAAGCGGCAGCTACAAGATCAAACAGCGAACATCAATACAGAAATCCAAGATCAACAATCTCGCCTGGACAACCATGACCAACAACAGCATTCAATTGTGCAACAAGTGGAAGATCTCGGTGACAACTATGAGCAGCAGAGCAATGCTAAAGACCTGCGCTTGGGTGATGTTGAAGCTGCGCTGGACGCTTTGTCTGCAGATACAGAAGTCGCTGACTTGGTGACAGATGTAGAGTCCACCGTGCAAGACCTACAGGCCAACATGACTAGAGTGAACTCCAAGGTTGAGCAAAATGAAAATCTGAACCGTGATATCACACAGCCACTCCTCCGCCAAGGTGCCCCACTCGAGGGAGCGAATAATGCCCTACAAGAGCACATGCAGGCACTGGAAGCATTTGACCAACACATACAATCATATGGGACCAGCTACCAAGAGCAAATGTCAACTGAAGAAGCTCGCATAGAGACAATAGAAACACAAGTGAACACTTTCGATTCCGGCCTTTCAGCGCTTCTCGATGCTCTACAGAATACTGTTGACGGCCTCCACAACAAACGTGGAAGGCGCTGAAGAACAGTTTTCCCAGTACACGAGCCCGTCCGCCATTTTGGAAGGTCTTGCCGCTGTGGAGCAATCGATTGAAGATGTTGAAAGCACCCAGACGGTACTAGCTGCTGTGCAGCAGCAGTTGGTTGGTTCCAGGTCAGCAACAAATGAGAGATTGGCGAGATAGAAACAGCCATCAAAGCAAGCAGGGAGCCATGCAGCAAGCACAGTCTGACCTCCAGGCGGCAGCCCAGAGCTTAGAAACAGCGGCCGTTGTATCTGACAGCATCGCCGGCATAAATGCACGAGTTACCGCCAACACTCAAGGGTGCAGCGCCCTTTCTTCATCAGTCCAGCAAGTCGACAGCCAGGCTATTGAGACGCAACAAGCGGCTCTCCTGCAGCAGCTAACCGCGATTCCGGAAGAAGAGGTGCAGCAGGGTTTGACAGCAGCACAAGGACAGGGCCTCCAACAGATGACCCTCAAACTCAACAACATGAGGTCGTCAGTGGAGAGCTTGAGGGCAGCGGCTATGGCGATTGCATCGTCGTCGAATAGCACGGTTGAGTCGCTTCAGGATGACTTTGACACCTTGTCGACCGACCTTTCCGACCACCAGAACGCGATCGCTGCGCTGCAGAGCGATGAGAATGACGGCCTGGCGGACACGGTGAGAGCCTTGCAGCAGACCGTCAGTGGGCTGACGGGTAGTCTCAACAGCCATACCTCCTCCCTCTCTTCCATCGAACGAATCATCCAACAGTCGACGTCAGCCTTTGATTACTGTAAGTATCAACACTCGAACCTTTTCTATAGTTCGCTTGAGTTCATTCAAGTTTCAGTTAGGCCATGTTGATTTGATTATATGGATGACATCAGCGCGCGCATGAATTTTCGGCCATTTCCAAAAAAAAAAAGTTTTCAACCATACTGTAAATCGTGCAAAACAGTTGCTAAATGAGCAAAAATATACCATTAGTTGCAAGGAAAACATTTAGAAACGACACCAATGTCGTAGAATGCCAAAATCAAAGGAAAAAAGACAAAAATGTAAAGAAATGAATTCGAAGAGTAGATTATTCGCCATAACATATTCTGTGCCATTTGTTCAACCTTCATGACCACGTTGATTTCATAGTGAAAGCAACTTTTTTTTTTGCAAAACTTTTTTTTTATTCGCACGCGCGCATCAGTTTTGGGGTTCCCAGAGGATGTCATCCATATAATCAAATCAACATGGCCTTATTGTCAACACTAAAAGATATGTTTATGCTTGTACTTGTATCAAGTCATTTTTATTTTGTCTTTATTCACTTATCATATCAATTTTTAACTTTTGAAGAATAGTTTGTTCTGATTATCAAAAGTTTATAAGATAATTTCCCTGTTTCTTTGTCTTTTTCATCTATGATGATAGGCATTTTAATGTCAAAATAATTTTCAAAGTATTTATAGTAGGCCTACTAGTACACAAACATACTCAATAATGCCTAACTTAAGCTTAACAAATGACTGTGCAAACTGTCTTAACATCAAATCCGTGAAGAACAGTGCAACAACACTTTAATGAAATATTATGACTGTTTTTTATATTGTTTTTCAGCGGAAAAGGGCAGTTATGTTCTTCCGTTACGGAGGAACTTTTGGGGGACAACTCAACCATATGGCAGTCCACAGACCAGGAACGTCAACTTCAACCGACGGTTCCGTACCAACCCTGTTGTGTTCGCCGGCATTACCAAAATTGACCTGGGTTCTAACAGAAATAACAGGTCAGTAGTAGTACCTTTGAGATGACTTCAAAATTGACTTGAAAAGTAGCACCAATAACAGGTCAGTAGTAGTACATTTTCAGATGGTACTTGGACAATACATCCTCATAATATATGGATTCTATTACATGCAACCAGTAATTCTCTACAAGACACCTTTCTCGGATTTACATCGAAACTGATTAAACATCTAATTAATGGATCTGTATGAAAAAAAATTCCTATATCCTATCTGTGATGAAATTATTAATTATTTTGGATAGTTCAACAGACTTGCTAGCATATATGGATGAGTATCGGGATACTATATGATAGAAGATTTTATTATTTCTTTTCTTCATGCTCACAGTATTGTATGTTTGTGATATCTGGTTGTGAATAATTTGGAAGATGAATTTCTTGTTGTTGTTTATCCTAACAGGCTGAAGCTGATAGTGGATAGGATTACTCCAACCGGCTTCCGACTGACATTCGGGTCTTGGGGGGACACTATCAATTACCAATGCACAGCGCACTGGATTGCTCTCGGCAAGAAGAACTAATCGGGCGAACCCGTTCTGTATCAAAAGCCCCATGTCATACATAGCCGAACAAAACCATGGATATAGGAGTAGGGACACACTGTACTTTTTTTGGATGGCATCTTCTGAAGAATAAAAATTTCCAGTCTAAAACGTTAGGAATAAAAAGCTGGTATTGTGAGCCTACTGGGGTAGAACATTTACTACATTTACGACAAGCCGTCGGCACTGTTCTGAGTTCCGTGTAGTTTCGGCAACCTGGGTGCCGTCCTCCGTAGTTACCGACGGCTACCTATTGTCCCTAGCTACCGTGGACTGCGGACGATGGCACTCTAGGCCAGAGCCTCGGATGTGTTTTTTTTTAGAACAGACGGAAATAAATGCGCGCGGATGTCATCCATAAAATTCAATCAGTGTGGCCTAGATCTGGAGCAAGGTCGGCTGTAGTCGGCAGTTCAAAACATTCGGGTGTGGACGGGAGGTTCGGTGTAGGTGATCGGTAGTAGGTGAACAGTGTTGCGTGTTTCTGGTCAAATTTAATTCAAATTCGATTCCTATAGAACGAGACTGCTCCCGAACTGAGGTTCAATAAATTCTGAATGTGTGACAAGGGCTAGCACAATGACAAGGAGATTGTAATACTGGGTTCAACTGGGTACAAGATGTCCTGCAGAAACGATTGAGGGAAAGAAATTGGAATTCAAAGAAAAGCAGCTATGATATCTCAACGCCCCATTGCTGTTTTGTGTTTTTTTTTTCAAATATGGCTGTGGCTATGTTTTTAAAGGGCCTGTTTGTGAATTTTTTGCTGTGTTTTGTGCTGTGTTTTGTTGTATTCATACAACTAAAATAAGTGATTGATTTCAAAGGCTAATGTTTCAGGGCCATTTGGACACACTTTTTTGTGGTCTTGGTGTTTTAAATTGACGCTAAATATTATACACATGTATTTGTATAACATTTAAGTCTGTAATAACAATATCATTACCATAATATAACGGAAACACACTGTTTTGTACACCTAATGGAACGTTCAGTAGATTATTGGTGTAAATAGTAGCTTTCACATAAATGGAAAAAGACTATCCACATTTGAAGATTTGAAGTTTGATGTAAAGTTTGCAGTGGATTTTGTTATTTGACGACAACGTTTGCTTACTCTGCTACAGCAACTGCCATAAACCGTGTTTTTGTCCACAATACAGTTATTTGATAACTCTGTTTGCTTATTTTATCGTATCACGCCACATTTTTCTACAGTTCATTTGAGTACTTTAAGCCCTAATGGACCTACTTTATAAGCTTATATTATTATCAACTTTTACAAAAGTTGATTGGAAGATCGTAAAGAGGAATCAACGTACTGGGAAATCTTTAAAATAACATTTCCTCTACTGTAATCTTCTTCTTAGGCTAAAAGCCAACGTTAAGCATATTTTGAGACTGCCTAAAATCAGGAGATTTTAGTACTTTAACCGAGAAAAACAATAAAATCAATTTGCCGTGTTTTTCAGATACGTCTGTCTTCCTTGAGTTAGTTAGTCCTTTTTCAAACGGACCAATCTTGGTAGACTTCGGGCAAATATTGTTATCCCTTAGTCCCTGACAACTACTATTAGCCCCAAGGTTTCATAGAGATGTTCAACATGTTTTCTAAAGTTATCAGAAGTTTTTAACTATATTAATGATCCAAAATCGTACCTTAGATTAAAGGTAAAATGATTTTTAGACACCATATACACATTGCGGTACATACAAGTCTGCACAGTATGTTGTTTTGACGCCTAATATTTCTGCCCGTGGGAGAGCCTCAGATTAAATTTCCCTGGCTGGCGAAGTCTTGTTTTGTGACTTAAAAGCCCATAACAAGCGTGGTATTAAGGGCTTTCTCAACTCTAAGTAAGTTATAAGGACGTCGTATTGTTGGTCCCGTTGCCTTGACACGTTAAGACGTCAAACATAAGGTATAAAGGGAGTTCTAAGGTTTGCACTGAAGGTTTGCACATCGACTAAGGGTGTGTGAGAGTCAGACTTGCGACAACTTCTGCACTAGAACACACACCATGTTGCCGTCTGTAAGCTTCCTGGTGCTTCTGATCGTCTGTGCTGTGCCGAACGGTGTACGGGCGCAAGATTATCTCTTGCAAAACCTCCAGGGTAAGCCTTTCTAGTTTACCTTCTTACCAACTCGAAGTGAACATAAATGAAATGTAATATGAAGCCATCGTGCATGAAGGTTTTTCTAAAAATAGGTGGCCGAGATTGTCGACATCAGCACGCTATGTCTTAATGTGGGGTCGTGTGGCGTAACGGCAGAGCGTTCGGTTTGGAACCAAGAGGTCCCGAGTTCGAATCCTACCATGCCACCGACCCTGTGCCTTGGGAAAGGCACTTAAAACGAATTTCCTCACTTAAACCGGGTGAAATGAGTATCTCTGTTGTCTGTGCGTTTGTCTGCTTTGGTGGTGGCATAAAAATAAGCTGAAAAACTTGAGTGCCACTGCCATCCCATGTGATTAAAGTTGCAATAGAAAAAATTTCGAAAGAGACTGACTGTATTTAATACAATGTATCACGTTTGTTACAAAGGCCTCTTCTAGTTAAACTAAATAGATAGCAATATGCTATAGTTAAACCTGTTTCGGCATGGTATTACTTTATTGTACAAAATGTACCTGTTTCGGCATGGTATTACTTTAGTCTTCTTTAAATATAAGGGTCGATGAAAGTTAGACATTCAGGTAATGAGATACACAAAGAATTGTTACACAAGTAACTGGATAAAGTTTGAAAACTGTCAGACGTTTTGGGTAGCATCCACTCATTATAGTCACTGACAAATATATCCAGTCTCTTGAGTTATTCGTTTTGTGTTGAATGCTTTTTGTTCTTAAGCTCCCTTTAGTAATGAATTCAATCTTTGTTTTATTTCAGGGTCTATCATCAAGCTGGACAATTTTTTCATGGGTCTTGAGTCGCAGAGCAAGAGCTTTGAAGCGGCATTTACAAGACTAAAGGTAGGCAAGAATCCAAACCATAGCTACTCTAACTGTCAATCTATCTACTCTAACTGCATTTCATTCGGAAAGTTAGGAAGCAAACTCTAGTACAAACCCTCTTGGAGATAGACTTATCAAACCAATTGTTGTACACAGGTCATTGATGGCGCAATCTCGATGCAACACATAACGATAAAAAATGTACGGGGAGGCCTCGACGATATGAATCTCCAGTTGACGGCGATGGGGGAGACGTTTGGCAACGTCAACGGCAGCATGAATCGAGACAAGGACACCCTGGAACGCATGGGCCGGTACGTGGACGAGGAATCTCAAGAACGCGGGGAGGAGATCTCCTCGTTTGACGGCATCATGGAGGAATACCTGGCGGACATCGACTACGTGATTGACGAACAGAAGGAAGCGCACTCCCAGTCACTTCGCCAAGAGGCAGAGCGACAGGCACGGGGTAGAGACAACTTCCGACAACAACTACAAGAGTACCAAACCGCGAGGGAAGAGAAACAAGCGGAGATAGAAGAACTCATGCAAATAGTCAACACTCAAGTTGCCGCTCTGAGGTCGAAGGACGAGGCGCTGGACGCCCGCGTGGCAGCGCTACAAGCTCGGGTCCAGTCGTTGATTGAAGAGGTTGCTGGTCTTGGTGAGCAGCTTGCAGAACAACGTTTACAGCTTGAGACACAGGAAGCCATACTTAACGGAGAACATCTCACAAACGTCCGAAACTCGTATGAAACTCATGTACAGCGACACGGTCAGATCCAGCAACTGCTGGAAACCATTCAAGCAACGGTCACGACGCTACACACAAGGAAACAGCAGCTGCAAAATCAAACAACGAACATCAATGCAGAGATCCAAGATCAACAATCTCGCCTGGACAACCATGACCAACAACAGCATTCAATTGTGCAACAAGTGGAAGATCTCGGTGACAGCTATGAACAGCAGAGCAATGCCAAAAGCCTGCGTTTGGATGATGTTGAAGCTACGCTGGAAAATTTGGCTACGGATACAGGAATCGTTGACTCGGTGACACAAATGCAGTACACGGTACAGGACATACAGGCCAACATCACAGTACTGTACTCCAAGGTTGAACAAAATGAAAATCTGACCCAAGATATCATACAGCCACAACTCCGGAACGTTACAACTTCCTTCTTCCAGGGAACGAATAATTCCCTGCAGGAGTACATGCAGACGCTTGAAACATTTGACGAACACATCCAGTCATACAATGAAACCTACCAAGATCAAGTGTCAACTGAAGAAGCTCGCATACAGACAATAGAAACACAAATGAATGTCGATTCAGAGCTTATCACTGCTCTACGAAACACAATCGACAGCCTCACAACAAACGTGGAAGGCGCTGAAGAACAGTTTTCCCAGTACACGAACTCGTCTGCCATTTCGGAAGGTCTTGCCAGTGTGGAGCAATTGATTGAAGATGTTGAAAACAGCCAAAGACCAATAACTGCCCTGCAGCAAGAGCTCACTGATTCGAGGTCAGCAACAGACCAGAGATTCGGCGAGCTTGAAACATCCATTCAAGATAAAGAGAGAGCCCTACAACAAGCACAGTCTGACCTCCAGGCGGCCGCCCAGAGCATAGAAACAGCGTCTGTCGTATCTGACAGCATCGCCAGCATAAATGCACGAGTTAGTTCCAACACTCAAGGGTGTGACGATCTTTCCTCGTCAGTTGAGGAGATCGACTTAGAATACCGTCCGGATGTTCAGGCACAACACACGGCCCTCGAGCAACAGATCGCCGCTGTTCCGTATGACGAAGTGCAACGGGCGGTGGCCGCAGGGTTTCAGGGAGACATACAGGACATGGACAACAAACTCAACAACATGGAGGGGTCGGTAGACGCGCTGGAGGCGATGGCGCTGGCGTTTGGAACGTCATCGGAGAGCACGTTTGAGTCGCTTCAAGTCGACTTGGACACCATCACAACCCAGCTCTCCAACCACCAGAGCGCGATTTACACGCTGCAGCGCGGTCAGACGGACGGACTGTCGGGAACAGTGACGACCTTGCAACAGACCGTCACATCGCTAACAACCCGTTTTAGCGGCTTCAACACTGACCTGTCTACCATCGAACGACTCATCCAACAGGCAACCTCCGCGAACTCCGTTAATCACTGTAAGTACTCCCCTGTTTTCGTCGTGTATTCCTTATGTATTCCTTCGTGTATTGCTTATAACGTTACATTCCTGATGAATTCCATTAAATACCGCATTTCTAATGTATGTTCCTCGTGTATTTCTCGTGTATTCCTTTATGTACTCCTTTATGAAATCCTCATCAATTCCATCAATCATTGTACGTGTTCCCCATGTATTCGTCGTGTATTCCTCATGTATTTCTCGTGCATTCCTTGTGTATTCTTCATGTTTTCCTCGTGTATTCCTCGTGAATTCCTCATGAATTCCTAATGCATTCCATTAATAATTCTAAGTATTCCTCGTGTATTCCTTGTGTATTCCTCAAAAATTCCTCATGAATTCCTAACCAATGCCGAAAACCATTGAAAGTATTCCTCGCGTATTCCTCATGTATAAAAAACTATCAATTCTTACCAAATTGAAAAGATGCTTTGGGCATGGAACACACCTTTATGATATAGATAACTTAGAAGAAGAACATATCACTGTACGTATTTCTCATCCCATTTCTTTTATCGAGGTGGCTGTAAAGTTAAACGTAATATTAAAACCTAAAGGTATGTAAGTGAGAAAGAGAGAGGCAAATAAAGGAATAAAGATACACCTTTGTCCAAAGTCTTACCATTCAATGTGCTTGATTTACAGATGAAAAAGGCACTTGGTCACTTCCATTGACGACGAACTTTTGGGGCACTCCGCAAACTTATGGTTCAAAGCAATATCGAAACGTCAACTTCAACAACCGTTTCTCAAGCACTCCTGTCGTTTTCGCCGCCATTTCAAAAATCGACTTGGGTTCTGGCGACAGACACTGGTGAGTTGCAGAATACGTTTTCTTGAAATTAACATTTTAGTAAGGCCATGTTGATTTGACTCTATGGATGACATAATTTTCCGTTTCACAAAAACGTTTACGACCATGGTGTAAATCGTACAAAGTGAGCAAATATATGCCAAAAATTGAAGAAAAAATTTTGGAAAACTATACTTATGTTGCAGAATGCCAAATCCATACCAAAGGCCAAGACGAAATGTAAAGGAATGAAAATGAAGAGTCTATTATTCATCATGCCAGTAAAATTTTACTTTGTGCGTTTAGTCATTTGTTCAACCTTCATAACCACCTTGATTTCATAATGAAGACAACTTTTTTTATTCGCACGCTCGCATCAGTTTTGGGGTTCCCAGAAGATGTCATCTATATAATCAAATCAACATGGTCCAAAGTATTTAAACCAATTGATGATGATGATAACTTGAGTAAAAATAGATTGAAAACAGAAAGACAGGAAGAAAAATGGGTGAACTGAATGCTTTGATTATGGTTTGAATTTTTTCAACATTTGATGGGATGTATTACTTATTTCCGTGTTGTTGTTTCTAACAGCACCTCGCTTAGGGTATACAACGTTTATACGTACCGCTTCTCGATGGAATACGGACCTTGCAGTGGCAGTCGTTTTTTCGACGGCAAGGTAGACTGGATAGCTGTGGGAAGACGGTAGTGTGGAATTTAAGTCCTAGGAAAAATGCTGTGTTTCCTGTTTCAGTCCTGACAAAAATCGGGTCAGTAGATGGGAATTTCTTTATCTTTTTTATACTTCTGCGATTTCTAGTGATCCATCTTATGCGAAGGAGCCCCTTGCTTATACAATACAGTCTAACAAAGTGAAACTTGCATGAAGATACTTATATTTTCAATGTCAATGTTAGAAAACTCATTGCACAACGTTTCATCAATTTAGGTGTCAGATCATGGAGCTAGAAAAGGTCAGTCAGGTCAAAAATTTATGTCCCATACAGGAGTCCACACAAAAAAAATAAAACTAGGGTCGGCAGTTTTTTCTAGGGTCGGTCGGGAAACAGGAAACACAAAATTTTTCCTACGCCTGAATCAAAGACCGATAATGTATGGCTTGGATGCCCAGGACTTTGTGTAGACATCAAATGTAATTCTATTGCTTTCTATTTTTATGTAAAGCTGTTTTATAGAAATCCATAGTATGCCATTTTGCATGCAAAACACTTTATGTTAGGCCACACCAAGTATTTTTTATGGATGACGTCCCCTGGAAAAGCGAAATGTAATGCGAGAGCGCGAAAACAAACAGGAAGGGCCAAAAAAACAAGATGCCTAGATTTGAAATATCCTTAGGGACGACAAATGCTAGGACACAAATTGAAAGAGAGAGCACAGTGTAGAAGCCAACAAGTCTTTTATTCATGAAAACACAGATAAATCAGTGGAACAGCATGCAGTTGTCGTCCTGTCCTGTTTCTTGTGCTTATATTTGACGTTAAGCGTTTTACGTAGCCTGGTATCCCGTGACGTGATTGGGGGTGTTGGGGTGTTTTTTTAACATTTAAGTCTGTAATAACAATATCATTACCATAATATAACGGAAACACACTGTTTTGTACACACAATGGAACGTCCAGTAGATTATTGGTGTAAATATTAGCTTTCACATAAATGGAAAAAGACTATCCACATTTGAAGAAACCGTGTTAAGTTTAAGGTTCGCAGTGGATTTTGTTATTTGACGACAACGTTTGCTTACTCTGCTACAGCAACTGCCAAAAACCGTGTTTTTGTCCACAATACAGTTATTTGATAACTCTGTTTACATATTTTATCGTATCACGCCACATTTTTCTACAGTTCATTTGCGTACTTTAAGCCCTAATGGACCTACTTTATGAGCTTATATTATTATCAACTTTTACAAAAGTTGATTGCCAGATTTGGAAGATGGTAAAGAGAAATCAAGGTACTGGGAAATATGTGACAAGTCTTTAAAGTAAGATTTTCTTTACTGTAATTTTCTTCTCAGGCTAAAAGCAAATGTTAAGCATATTTTGAGACGGCCTAAAAGCAAGAGATTTAGTACTTTAACCGAGAAAAACATAATAAAATCAATTTGCCGTGTTTTTTTTCAGATACGTCTGTCTTCCTTGATTTAGTTAGTCCTTTTTGAAACGGACCAATCTTGGTAGACTTCGCGCAAATATTGTTATCCCGTAGTCCTTCAACTAGGTTTCATAGAGATGTCCAACCTGTTTTCTAAAGTTATCAGAAGAGAAAAAGAAGTGTTCGTCGCTTTCGGCGTCTTTTTTAAACTATATCAATGATCCAAAATCTTACCTTAGGTTAAAAGTAAAATACTTTTTAGACACCATATACACATTGCGGCACATACAAGGCTGCACAGTATTCACAAATGTTGTTTTGACTCCTAATTTCTGCCCGTGAGAGAGCCTCAGATTGAATTTCCCTGGCTTGCGAAGTCCTGTTTTGTGACTTAAAAGCCCATAACAAGCGTGGTATTAAGGGCTTTCTCAACTCTAAGTATTTCTCAACTCTAAGGACGTCGTATTGTCGGCCCCGTTGCCTTGACACGTTAAGACGTCAAACATATGGTATAAAGGGAGTGCTAAGGTTTGTACAGCGACTAAGGGTGTGTAAGAGTCAGACTTGCGACGACTTCTGCACTAGAACACACACCATGTTGCCGTCTGTAAGCTTCCTGGTGCTTCTGATCGTCTGTGCTGTGCCGAACGGTGTACGGCCGCAAGATTATCTCTTGCAAAACCTCCAGGGTAAGCCTTTCTAGTTTACCTTCTTACCAACTCGAAGTGAACATAAATGAAATGTAATATGAAGCCATCGTGCATGAAGGTTTTTCTAAAAAAATAGGTGGCCGAGATTGTCGGCATCAGCACGCTATGTCTTAATGGTCGTGTGGCGTAACGGCAGAGCGTTCAGCTCAGAACCAAGAGGTCCCGAGTTCGAATCCTGCCATGCCACCGATCCTGTGCCTTGGGAAAGGCACTTAAAACGAATTTCCCACTTAAACCGGGTGAAAATGAGTATCTCTGTTGTCTCTGCGTTTGTCTGCTTTGGTGGTGGCATAGAAATAAGCTGGAAAAACTTGAGTGTGCCACTGCCATCCCATGTGATAGCCTGGGTGCATCCGAATTTGTAACGGCTACCCCGAAAAAAATTTTTCGGGTAGCCGTTACAAATTTGGATGGCACGCAGGCTACCCATGTGATTAAAGTTGCAATAGAAAAAATGTCTAAAGAGACTGACTGTATTTAATACAATGTATCATGTTTGTTACAAAGGTCTCTTCTAGTTAAACTAAATAGATAGCAATATGCTATTGTTAAACCTGTTTCGGCATGGTATTACTTTATTGTACCTGTTTCGGGATGGTATTACTTTAGTCTTCTTTAAATAAAAGGGTCGATGAAAGTTAGACATCCAGGTTATGAGATACACAAAGAATAAAATATCGTTACACAAGTAACTGGATGAATTTTGAAAACTGTCAGACGTTTTGGGTAGCAATATAGTCACTGACAAATATATCCAGTCTCTTGAGTTATTCGTTTTGTATTGAATGCTTTTTGCTCTTAAGCTCCCTTTAGTAATGAATTCAATCTATGTTTAATTTCAGGGTCTATCATCAAGCTGGACAATTTCTTCATGGGTCTTGAGTCGCAGAGCAAGAGCTTTGAAGCGGCATTTACAAGACTAAAGGTAGGCAAGAATCCAAACCATAGCTACTCTAACTGTCAATCTATCTACTCTAACTGCATTTCATTCGGAAAGTTAGGAAGCAAACTCTAGTACAAACCCTCTTCTAGATAGACTTATCAAACCAATTGTTGTACACAGGTCATTGATGGCGCAATCTCGATGCAACACATAACGATAAAAAATGTACGGGGAGGCCTCGACGATATGAATCTCCAGTTGACGGCGATGGGGGAGACGTTTGGCAACGTCAACGGCAGCATGAATCGAGACAAGGACACCCTGGAACGCATGGGCCGGTACGTGGAGGAAGAATCTCAAGAACGCGGGGAGGAGATCTCCTCGTTTGACGGCATCATGGAGGAATACCTGGCGGACATCGACTACGTGATTGACGAACAGAAGGAAGCGCATTCCCAGTCACTGCGCCAAGAGGCAGAGCGACAGGCACGGGGTAGAGACAACTTCCGACAACAACTACAAGAGTACCAAAGCGCGAGGGAAGAGAAACAAGCGGAGATTGAAGAACTCATGCAAATAGTCAACTCGCAAGTTGCCGCCCTGAGGTCCAAGGACGAGGCGCTGGACGCCCGCGTGGCAGCGCTACAAGCTCGGGTCCAGTCGTTGATTAACGAGGTTGCTGGTCTCGGTGAGCAGCTTTCAGGACAACGTTTACAGCTTGAGACACAGGAAGCCATACTTAACGGAGAACATCTGACGAACGTCCGAAACTCGTATGAAACTCATGTACAGCGACACGGTCAGATTCAGCAACTGCTGGAAACCATTCAAGCAACGGTCACGGCTCTACACACCAGGAAACGGCAGCTGCAAAATCAAACAACGAACATCAATGCACAGATCCAAGATCAACAATCTCGCCTGGACAACCATGACCAACAACAGCACTCAATTGTGCAACAAGTGGAAGATCTCGGTGACAACTATGAGCAGCAGAGCAATGCCAAAAGCCTGCGTTTAGATGATGTGGAAGCTACGCTGGAAAATTTGGCTACGGATACAGGAATCGTTGACTCGGTGACACAAATGCAGTACACGGTACAGGACATACAGGCCAACATCACAGTACTGCACTCCAAGGTTGAACAAAATGAAAATCTGACCCAAGATATCATACAGCCACAACTCCGGAACGTCACAACTTCCTTCTTCCAGGGAACGAATAATTCCCTGCAGGAGTACATGCGGACGCTGGAAACATTTGACGAACACATCCAGTCATACAATGAAACCTACCAAGATCAAGTGTCAACTGAAGAAGCTCGCATACAGACAATAGAAACACAAATGAATGTCGATTCAGAGCTTATCACTGCTCTACGAAACACAATCGACAGCCTCACAACAAACGTGGAAGGCGCTGAAGAACAGTTTTCCCAGTACACGAACTCGTCTGCCATTTCGGAAGGTCTTGCCAGTGTGGAGCAATTGATTGAAGATGTTGAAAACAGCCAAAGACCAATAACTGCCGTGCAGCAAGAGCTCACTGATTCGAGGTCAGCAACAGACCAGAGATTTGGCGAGATTGAAACATCCATTCAAGATAAAGAGAGAGCCCTACAACAAGCACAGTCTGACCTCCAGGCAGCCGCCCAGAGCATAGAAACAGCGTCTGTCGTATCTGACAGCATCGCCAGCATAAATGCACGAGTTAGTTCCAACACTCAAGGGTGTGACGATCTTTCCTCGTCAGTTGAGGAGATCGACTTAGAATACCGTCCGGATGTTCAGGCACAACACACGGCTCTCGAGCAACAGATCGCCGCTGTTCCGTATGACGAAGTGCAACGGGCGGTGGCCGCAGGGTTTCAGGGAGACATACAGGACATGGATAACAAACTCAACAACATGGAGGGGTCGGTAGACGCGCTGGAGGCGATGGCGCTGGCGTTTGGAACGTCATCGGAGAGCACGTTTGAGTCGCTTCAAGTCGACTTGGACACCATCACAACCCAGCTCTCCAACCACCAGAGCGCCATTTACACGCTGCAGCGCGGTCAGACGGACGGACTGTCGGGAACAGTGACGACTTTGCAACAGACCGTCACGTCGCTAACAACCCGTTTTAGCGGCTTCAACACTGAACTGTCTACCATCGAACGACAGATCCAACAAGCAACTTCCGCGAACGCCGTTAATCACTGTAAGTATCCCCCATGTTTTCGTCATGTATTCACTATGTATTCCTCATTTAGAAGTATGATAAGGAACTTGGACTGATAACGGACTGATGATTTATTATTTATTTTTGTATTATATTTTGATTTGCACTTTGTTTTGATTTTGTATTATATTTTGGTTTGATTTGTAATCCGTGACCCCGCCCTCACCCTCGACCTTGTTGAAAAGCGGTCATTTGTAACCGAACAAGCTTTCGAGTTTAAATAAAGGCTTACTTACTTACTTACTTACTTACTTACTCATAAACTCGTCGTGTATTGCTCATACATTCCTGATGAATTCCATTAAATACCGCATTTCTAATGTATATTCCTCGTGTATTTCTCGTGTATTACTTTATGTACTCCTTAATGAAATCCTCATCAATTCCGTCAATCATTGTACGTGTTCCCCATGTATTCGTCGTGTATTCCTCATGTATTTCTCGTGTATTCCTCGTGTATTCGTCGTGTATTCCTCATGTATTTCTCGTGTATTCCTCGTGTATTCGTCGTGTATTCCTCATGTATTTCTCATGCATTCCTCATGTGTTCCTCGTGTATTCCTCGTGTATTCCTCATGTATTCCTCGTGTATTCCTCGTGTATTCCTCGTGTATTCGTCGTGTATTCCTCATGTATTCCTCGTGTATTCCTCATGTATTCCTCGTGTATTCCTCATGTATTCTTCGTGTATTCCTCGGGTATTCCTCGTGTATTCGTCATGCATTCCTCATGTATTCCTCGTGTATTCCTCATGTATTCTTCGTGTATTCCTCGTGTATTCCTCATACATTCCACATGAATTTCTCATGCATCCCATTAGTCATTATAAGTATTCCTCCTGTATTCCTCGTGTATTCCTCATGCATTCCTCATAAATTCCTCATGAATGCCATAAATCATTGTAACTATTCCTCCCGTATTCCTCGTGTATTCCTCGCGTATTCCTCATATATAACCAAAAAATTCAATTCTTACCAAATTGAAAAGCTGCTTTGGGCATGGAACACACCTTTATGATATAGATAACTTAGAAGAAGAACATATCACTGTACGTATTTCTCATCTCATTTCTTTTATCAAGGTGGCTGTAAAGGTAAACGTAATATTAAAACCTAAAGGTATGTAAGTGAGAAAGAGAGAGGCAAATAAAGGAATAAAGATACACCTTTGTCCAAAGTCTTACCATTCAACATCGTGCTTGATTTACAGATGAAAAAGGAACTTGGACACTTCCGGAGATGAGGAACTTTTGGGGCACTTCGCAAATTTATGGTTCACGACAATTTCAAACCATCAACTTCAACAACCGTTTCTCCAGCACTCCTGTCGTTTTCGCCGCCATTTCCAAAATCGACTTGGGTGCTGGCGACAGACACTGGTGAGTTGTAGAATACTTTTTCTTCAAATTAACATTTTAGTAAGGCCATGTTGATTTGATTCTATGGATGACATGAATTTTCCATTTCCCAACAAAGTTTACGATCATAGTGTAAATCATATAAAGTGAGCAAATATATGCCTTATATAGAAGAAAAATGTTGGAAAACTATACTTATGTTGCAGAATGCCAAATCCATACCAAAGGACAAGACGAAATGTAAAGGAATGAAAATGAAGAGTCTATTATTCATCATGCCAGTAAAATTTTACTTTGTGCGTTTAGTCATTTGTTCAACCTTCATAATCACCTAGATTACCTAGATCACCTAGAATAAACTTTTTTTATTCGCACGCTTGCATCAGTTTTGGGGTTCCCAGAGGATGCCATCCATATAATCAAATCAACATGGTTCAAAATATTTAAACCAATTGATGATGATGATGACTTGAGTAAAAATGGATTGAAAACAGAAAGAAGACATGGATGCTTTAATGAATGCTTTAATTATGGTTTGAATTTTTGACCAACATTTGATGGGATGTATTACTTATTTCCTTGTTGTTGTTTTTAACAGCACCATGCTCAGGGTATATGACGTTTATACATACCGCTTCTCGATGGAATACGGACCTTGCAATACCAGCCATTTTTACGCCGGCAAGGTAGTATGGATAGCTGTGGGAAGACGGTAGTGTGGAATTTAAGTCCTAGGAAAAATGCTGTGTTTCCTGTTTCAGTCCTGACCAAAATAGTGTCTTTTATAGCAGATAGTTTTTTTTAGACTTGGCGATCTCTGGTGATCCAACTTATACGAATGAGCCCGTTGCTTAAACAATACAGTCTAACAAAGTGAAACTTACATGAGGACACTTATATTTTCAATTTCAATTTCAAATGTTAGAAAACTCATTGTCCAACGTTTCATCGATCAGGTGTCAGATCATGGAGCTAGAAAAGGTCAGTCAGGTCAAAAATGTATGTCCCATACAGGAGTCCACACAAAATAAGGCTAGGGTCGGCAGTTTTTTCTAGGGTCGGTCGGGAAACAGAAACACAAAATTTTTCCTACGCCTGAATCAAAGACCGATAATGTATGACTTGGATGCCCAGGACTTTGTGTAGACATCAAATGTAATTCTATTGCTTTCTATTTTTATGTAAAGCTGTTTTATAGAAATCCATAGTATGCCATTTTGCACGCAAAACACTTTATGTTAGGCCACACCAAGTATTTTTTATGGATGACGTCCCCTGGAAAACCGAAATTTAATGCGAGAGCGCGAAAACAAACAGGAATGGCCAAAAAAACAAGATGCCTAGATTTAAAATATCCTTAGGGACGACAAATGCTAGGACACAAATTGAAAGAGAGAGCACAGTGTAGAAACCAACAAGTCTTTTATTCGTCATGAAAACACAGTTGAATCAGTGGAACAGCATGCAGTTGTCGTCCTGTCCTGTTTCTTGTGCTTATACTTCGCGTTAAGCGTTTTACGTAGCCTGGTATCCCGTCTAACGTGATTGGGGGTGTTGGGGTGTTTTCGTCTGTATGTGTCTTCGGGGGCTCTAATAGCTTCTCCCGCCCAGTGCAACAGGCCGTCCCGGTAGGAGTGTTACGCTAATAATTAAATAAGAGACAGTATGCTTGGGCATTTGGTTTCCCCCAACACGTTCGTGGAGGGCTAATCAATCTCTCGTGAAATACACACCGGGAAACTTATGTGAGGCGGGCGGGACAGAGCTCTTGCGGCCCCGACCACGAGCAGCTCTTGCGGCCCCGACCACGAGCAGACTGGATACCAGGCTACGTTTTACGATTTTGGTCATAGTTACTGGAGGCGGAATTTGTTGGGTTTCTTTCTGGGAACAGGCCAAAATCAATGCGCGAACGTCATCCATGAAAATTACTTGGTGTGGCCATATGTATTTTCCAATATTATCGTATACAATATAACTTAGTGAACATTTGTGTTGTTTTTTAAAAGATTAGCAAGCATTTTGACTTTGTCATTGTATGATTTGATGTTTGCATTTATCGACAATACTACCAATTTCAGTGGTGCATGTGTTAATTTTTTAATTTTTTTTCCTTTCAACAAATATTGTTTGATTTTTCTTGAATGACTAAAGAATAGCTATAATAGTATAATGCGCATTATATTTTGTGAGGTGTTCTTTATTCTAGTAATTATATTCTAGTAATCATTTTTCTTTTATTATACAATAAATTTAGGACGTTTACATGGTATATTATCATTTATACGTTTTGAAGTGATGCATAAATGAAAGATCCATTGAATGCATAAAGCGTGAATTTGATCTTTAACAGTTCAAAGCATACCAATACAAAGAAATATTGTTTCGTCTGCAAACTGACAGCCACCTTACAGAATGTAGGGGGTACTGATACAATGTTCTTCATTAGCCTCCTTCGCAGACTTCTGAGGTGGTGGCGTTAATTTTTTTCGCTAGTTATGCCGCGGAGGGACGGTTTTGCCGCCGAGGGACTTTGCCGGGAAGAGACGGTTTCCATCTTAGGCGGCGAAACCGTCTCTCTCCGGCAAAGTCCATCCGCGGCAAAGCTCGCGTTCCTCCCCGAAAAAAAAATAACGCCACCGCCTCAGAAGTCTGCGATGGAGGCTAGTTCTTTTTCACACTAGTAAATGCTGACACAAAACCACTAACAGAATTATGGCTTGACTACGTATTTCTATTGTGAGAACTTAAGTACATTTTACGCTTGTTATTATGAACTAATCACCTCAGAGGTTCATTCAATCAAACCTAAGTGTAATTTGGTTAGAAAGAACTATTGAAACCGGGTAAATCAAGTTTTAGTCGCAACCATTTGATGTAAAATTGTGTAAAAATGAGCGAAAAAGCAACAGTTTAATGAAATAAAAGATGGCGGACAATGTATAAAAGAGTCTTTGTGTTACATTAACGCTGATTGGTCAATGGTACGACATGCTAGGGGGCATCAGATTCATACGCTTGTCCAGATAGTTCTGGGTAAATATCTCAACCTATAGCATCTTTATTCATTCATCAGTCATTCGTTCGTTCATTTTTCGCCTTATTTGTTCGTTCCCTCATTCCTGTCGCCTTCATTCATTTATGTATATATTAATTTGTTCACAGACTCAGTCATTCACTTGTTTACCCAATAATTCGTTCATTCGTTCGTACGTCCTCTCTTTCGTTCCTTCATTTATTCCTTTATACCTTTTTCATTCGTTCCTACTGTTCGTGGGAGACACCTCTACCAAGCCAACCTGTTACCAGCCTATCCTTTGCCATGTCAATTCACTCTTTCGTTCATTTATCCCTTTATTTCTTATTCATTCGTTCCTACTGTTCACGGGAGACACATCTAGCAACACAACCTATCTACGACCTATCCTTTTCCACCTTCATTCATTCCTTCATACTTTCTTTTATTTATCACTTTATTCTCTCTTCAGTCCTTCCTACTGTTCGAAGACATTTCTACCAATTCAATCTGTCTAACCTTTCGCATTATGATTATGATTAATATTTTCTTGTCCTCTTCCACTCTGTGCAGAAAATAGGTGCGGTTCCCATCTCCATATCGGTAGCCCTTGGGCCACACAGTTATGCAAGCACCACAGCAGGAGGCAAGCAATTTTCAAGGACAATTTTCTGCCCACAACTGAGTTACATGTTTGAACGTAACGTGGGAAAGTAATTACACACACACTCGCCCTTGTGACGTTCGTCTTGTCTGATTGAATTTTCTCAGACTACGTCGTTTGCGGTCTCCTTGGGCAACCAACGCCAGATGTTTGATTGTGAACCTTGATGTAATTATCTTTGGGGAGAGTGATTCTCACGGTAAAGTTGTAAGGAAAGTCGACAACTTGTCGCCGACAAGTCAACTTCATTTTATCTTGAACAAAAGTAAACGGGTAGGAAACGAATTCGAAGAGAAATCTTGTTTTAGCGAAATGTGCACAAGATATTCAGTGATGGGGTACACACGATTCTTTAATAAAACTTTTCTTTTTCCTTTATAAAGCCATCGCATTATGATTATGACTTGTCCTCTTCTTCCACTCTGTACAGCGCATAGGGGTGGTACGCATCTCAATTTCTGTAGCCCTTGGGCCACACAGTTATGCAAGCACTACAGCAGGAGGCTAGTCCGCTGGTAGTGTTGTGTGTTGGCCTTACCACACAGATGCTGAGTGCCAAGCAGAGAAAGCAGTCTGTACCAATGTTTAAATCTTTGGTATGACCCGACCGGGACATCTCGGTAACAAAGCGAGCACTCGATTTAGCTATTGCACCGGTACTTCTTTTGCATCTGATAAAATGAGGTTCGGGTGACAACGAAAAAGTATGGTTTATAAAACCTCAGACATGAAAATAAACTTAGCACAAAGGGTACACAAGCCTCGACTAAGCCAGCACGCTAGCATTCCCTATAGGATTTCCACACATCTGGTATGATGATAGTAGGAAGCTGCAGTTTTTACAACAACTGCAAGGGGTCCTAAAACCTATGGTGGGGGGGGGGGCGTTCGGCAGAATTCGGCATATAATATTCGGCTTTGTATGACAGGGCCCTTACCTACTGCATGTGGCAAAACGGGGGCTCAAAAATACAGCCCAATTTTTCAGAGAGGAAAGAAAGCAAAATTAAATAAAAACGTGCTGTTCAGTCGGAAATAAAGTCACAGTCACCTTTCTAGGATAGTACAGCCAGAAAATCTGACTCCCACAGACTTCAATCTTTTGCACTTATCCCTGAAACGTATAAGAGATTACGGGTATATATTAGATTAGCCGAACATCAATGACTTTCATACAAGACTTAGAACTAGTCTGAGTTCCCTGGGTCTGGATTTGTGTTGGATTCCTGTTTCAACAATCTCCCTTTTGTAAAACTGGGGGAAAAGATTTAAGTCTAGAATCCCTTTCTGTCATGCGAAAGAAAACATTTTCAGAAAGTATAATACTTTCTTGTTGGTGAAAATTAAAAGTACGGTGTTTAATATTCATAGTTTAGCAGACCAATTTCGCAAAGTTACGATCATGACGCAAATGTGGTAATATTGAAAAATCCCTGTGAAAAACTCATTTTGTGGAGTAGAGTATAAAAGACATGGATATTTTGGTAAGACCAGAGCCGTGCAGGCCGGAGTACAGACCGGTTGCAGTCGTACTGTGTTCGGTCAACATCGGTTGCAGTCGTACTGTGTTCGGTCAACATCGCTAAGAGATGTCTCGTTCCCAGGCAGTCACTCTCGTTCTCCTGGTCTTCTGCTTGGGGATTCATGATGTCAATAGCCACTTCCTCAGTAAGAGCATTTTTTCACTTTTTCTATACCGTAGCTATAATACAAATCATTTAATGGCTTGAAATATACAGGAAAGATGCTCTGAAATCATGGTCCATGTAAGCATTGTAATATACAAAGCTGCGGAAGACGAAATTCACTTCATAGAGAAAAGAGATCACGACAGAAATTAACCTTTTTTTGCAGATGCCATCCCAACATTTTGCTATAAACGGTTAGAAAAATATTATTTCAAGTCTTGCCTTCATTTCAGACTCTGTGAAGCAAAAGGGGACCAACATGATCAAGGGTCTTCAAAACCAAATGCAGAAGCTCAAGGTTTTCCGTTATTTCCGTTATTTTCAATTTTGAATCCTTCCCAGGACACGTTTTGCTACTTTTATGGAAGCAAATCAACCTTTCCTCCTTCATACTCCATCTATCAGATCTTCTAAGAGTGTTTCACACTGAAAGCTTCTTAATTTGCCAGAACTAAATCACAAAGGAACAAGCTTCCTTGTAAATGCTTCCAAAATGTAGCCTGGGTGCCATCCCCAGTAGTATGTCACCCGCTCTATAATGTCGCTAGCTACCAGTTGTAAGCTAGCGGGCGAATACTACTGGGAATGGCACCCATGCTATCCCAAATGGGTACAACCTTAAACTTTTCAAGTTTAGGGTGAACAGATATTTGTCTCTACAGTTATTTTAACGTATTCCAAAACATGTAAGTGTTCATATGAGCCTTGTTTTAAGGTGAAAATTGAATTTAAAAAACCCCATATGTGGAACAAAAGCTAAAAGACCCGGCATTTTTGGAGTCTGAACAGCACTGAAGTAACAGAAATATCTCTCAGACACACCGTAATTGTATGCCATTGAAAACACGTAGAATCTCTTTAAAAACCTATCCACAGGAATCGGTAGACAAAGGCAAGGAAACATGGAAGCTCATCTCCAAAAACGTCAAGCGCATCGACGAAGTCGTGTCACAAGTGGCCACCATCTCAGCCTCCCTGCAAAGTCTGGAGCAAGCTTTCGCCGCCCAGGCGGCTGCCGCGGTCGGTGACTCCAAGAAAGATGGGAAAGGCTACCGCAGTTTGAAGAAGTTTGAAGAGAAGTTCCACCGAGAAATGACCCGTCAAGAGCGTCTCCTCAAGGTCCTTGACAGACAGGAAGACGTGATCCAACAGAGGCTGAACGATCTTGAGAAGACAAGCTCTTCTTCGGCTCAGAACTGTAACAACCTGCGACAAAAGGTTGAGCGCAACACCAACGAGGTGCAGAAACAGAACAACGAGTTTCGTCAACAAGAGCGACGCTTGAGCAACTTGGTGACCGAGATGAACAGCCTAGGATCTGTCCTCCACAGCATGCATGAGAAGAAAGGCGGCAAAGTACCCGTCTTCCCGGGGCTGCCCACACACAACATCAACGTGCAAGCGGACGTCAGCCGTCTGCAGGCCCAAGTCGACACCATTTTAGCCACCCTGAACGCCGAGAAGTCCAAGAGCGATCAACTCTTTGCTCTCATATCCGAGCTTCAACACCAAAAGGACGGCAAGGTAGCTCCAAACATCAGCGTGCAACCGAAATACAAGAAGGTCGAAAATACACATGCACACTACAAAGACGACAAGGGACATACATACTACAAGGACGACAAGGGAAAGGCATACTACAAAGACGACAAGGGACATGAATACTACAAGGGCGACAAGGGACAGACAATCTACAGGGACGACAACTTGAAGGTAGATGCCAACGGTAACGTTCATCCAAAATACCAGGGCGACCAGGATCCAAAATACCAGGGTGACAAGGTATACCCAAAGAGGTCCTTGGTAAACCCAAGCGACGACGACATTCAACCACAATACGTGAAAGCACAGTATGATCCATTCTTTGGAAAAGGCCATCTGAACCAACCGAATGTCGCCAATCTGTCAGCTGTCGTCACTGACCTTCAGGACCAAGTGCAACGCCTTCAAGAACGACCATACGTCGGGCATTGTGCGTACCTCCCTCCATCTCTTTCCTATTTCTGTAATTGCTTCTTCACATTCGCTCCAATAAAGTGTGGGAATGCACAATGTAAAATCGTTCGATTAACCTGACACGTGCTACTCGAAACGATTGCTTTCCTCTTTAATCTGGCCTCAACCGTCGCCAATGTCACATTTTTTGTCATTACATACAGTTTCCAGATTGCTATGTAGTAGAGAGACAGGCAGAGGGAGAAATTGACAGGGAGAGAGAGACAAGCAGAGGGTGAGAGAGACAGAAAGACAGACAGGGAGACAGAGAGAGAGAGAGAAGCTATACCTAGTTACATATCTAAATACACGTAAACACTAGACCCAGATGAGATGTCAGGACCAATAGAAGCTTTATTTTGTTGCTTGCTCCCCATCTCAGGTGAGGTTGGGATGCTCGGGCTGAAGTGGAATGCCGAAGGGAAGAATGGGTACGGAGGGACAGCCCCCGTCAACTTCAGCAAGACGTTCCGCACAGTTCCTGTCGTCTCCGCCGCCCTGTACAGGCTCTACCATACCGGCTATCAACCAGTGGGGTGAGTTTGCACAAGTAAAACTACGAAAACCACGATCTCCTTTCTCAGCATCCGGTGCTGAGTGTCCAGAGCTGTCGCGCTCTCAGCACTGAAAAAGCTGGCATCCGCACTGGAAACCGAGTGCTTGGATAAAACATTTTGATCATTCATAGACGCTATGATCGGCGGCTGGATGCGTCCGCCATTTTCTTTCTACCTATGCGTCCTCGCCATTTTGGTTGTGTCAAACAAAATGGCGGGCGCACCGAGTTAAAGTGCAATGCAGCAAAAACTCAAAACCTCTAACAGGCTTTGGGAAGCGGTTAGAAAGGGTAGAAATTGTCCACATAGACAGATTATATGTCAGGGGAGTTGTTCAGGGCTAAACTGCTCTCTTTATATATAGCGCGGACCAACTCCTCTGGCATATAATCTGTTTATTTGGCCAATATTCTACTTATCTTTCCATCCGCTTCCCGAAGCCTGGCAGAGGCTACAATGCTCACTCTCTTGTCTTGATGTTGTTGTTTTTACTCTATACAATTTATTTATTTTTTGTTCAGAATCGTCGTGGGGACCGACAAGATCACCGAGAAGGGGTTCCTTCTGAAGATACACGGCTGGGACCAGACCAAGCTGTACAGTGCAGGGGTGCAGTGGATGGCATGCGGCTAGAGACTTAACGTTACACGTGCGTTCAAAATGGCCCTGTACAAAATAGACCTTGAAAACGCCAAACATCGGAGGGAAATGAAATGAGATGAATTACAACGGAATGGCAAAGAATAAAACAAAGTTTTGGTTGTATGCGTCCGCCATTTTGTTTGTGTCAAACAAAATGGCGGACGCGGCCAGCAAAGTAAAATTCAAAACTCAAAACCTCTACCAGACAGCGTAAAATAAACATTCACAAATAAACATCAACTACAATCTTTTGGCATAGTCATATATATCTGTGGTACCATCTAGTGGATCAGTCACTAGAAGATGACATTTGGCCTTGCATTGAGCAACACCGTTAAAAAGGTAAATAAATCAAAGCCTCTCAATGCGGTTTAAACAAGGACATTCCAAGTGCTATAATTTGTACCGTGCCATTTAGAACGGGTTTAACGTCTTTCTGGATATACGGAATATACGTACCGTCTTATGGCATTTGACAACGTTAAATATTTACATAAAAGCGCTGATTAAATATAAAAACACGCTCATATTAACAACAGTAGCTTCGGCTAGAACAGTATACTACATGTAGTACTGGTGCAACAAGATTAAAATGTGAGAGATCTACTGTTGCTATATGTATTGTAACGTGAGTCTTCTACATGTATTTCATTAGTTGTTTCTATTTGCTAGTGCCAACAGCAGAAATAAATCACCCATTAAACAACAATCCAGTCGATCAGCCATGTTCTGTTGTATATAATAATAAAATAATAGTAATGATAATAATAATAATAATAATATGCTACGTCACCTTTAGCATGTGAAAAAGAATAAACGTTAAAGGAACACTGCACGAAATGGCCTCGGATCCTAGCAGATACGAACCGGGATTTGTCCGTATTTTTCGCAGATACAAGCGGATACTGACGGATCAGATTGGAATCCGCCAGAAAATCCGAAACATCGGTTACTGCAATCCGGAACCTATTCCGTACAAATCCGGAAAAACGGGATCCTTGTAGTAAATATTCCACACAGGATACGTTAGGATTTTGCCAGGATACGCACAGAAAAGAATTTGGATCTTGGCAGATGCGTACCGGGATTTTCCGGAATTGCTGACAGATACAAGCGGATACTGACGGATCAGAATGGAATCCGCCAGAAAATCCGAAACATCGGTTACTGCAATCCGGAACCTATTCCGTACAAATCCGGAAAAACGGGATCCTTGTAGTAAATATTCCACACAGGATACGTTCGGATTTTGCCAGGATACGCACAGAAAAGAATTTGGATCTTGGCAGATGCGTACCGGGATTTTCCGGAATTGTTGGCAGATACAAGCGGATACTGGGCGGATCACGGAATGGAATCCGTCAGAAATCCGAAACATCGGTTACTGCAATCCGGAGCCTATTCCGTACAAATCCGAATATTCCACACAGCAGACGCTCGGATTTGCCCGGGATTCGTACAGAAATGACCCCTGACAAATGCGTACCTCAGGATTTGAACTTTAAATACCTTTACCATGTTCCCATTCAGGATACATTCGGATACGTACAGGCTTAATAGGAGCTCCTGCAACTAAATTGTTTATTATCAATACACAATATAGCCTGAAACATATCGTGTTCAATTACCACTCCTATTAAAGTGGACAGCTATGTCCTTACATTTGGGGTACATAGTTATCCACAAATTTTATTACCACTTACAAAAACTGTAACAAACATTTGTGTCCAACGTTACCCCCTAACAGTGAGCTATGCCTTTACACTTGATGTCATAGTGAACAAACAAAAACTGTAATAAACATTTCTTCCCAAAGTTACCCTAAAATAGTGAGCTATGTCCTTACACTTGGGGTACATATCCATACACAAATCATAGTGAACAAACAAAAACTGTAATAAACATTTCTTCCCAAAGTTACCCTAAAATAGTGAGCTATGTCCTTACACTTGGGGTACATATCCATACACAAATCATAGTACTACTAACAAAAAACTGTAACAAACATTTCTGTCCACTGAAATGTTACCCCCAAAGAGTGAACTTGGGGTACATATTCGTACACAAATCATGGTGAACGAGTTTCAATGGCCTCAGAAAATTCACCAGAAATAATACTAGACCTAAGTTAACATTTAGAAATTCATTGATTCAACTCTAACAAGATGGGATTTTTAGACTTGGAAGTGGAAGAAGGGTCACTGGGCCAGGTACCCTCTTTTTAGTTACTACCGTTTTACCTGTGCACTTAAGTATGAAGTTTCATTTTTTTTGGTCCGGCTCACTTTTTGTATTTTGCACATGTGGGCAGCCAAAGAATGGCCTTAGTAAAAAAAGATTTCCATTTCCATCATAAAATGACTCGTGGCGTGTAATCCGGACTCAGTATGCGCTGCAGCTTGAGCTTGAGCCGCTTACTGTATGGTTTCTTCACCTTCAAGGCGATGATCCAGTTTCTGTTGGCAAAAAAGCCATGGATCATTTAATACATCATAAGACAGACGAGCAAAACCTTGTCACATACATCCTGGAGGTATAAAAAGGTAAACAAATACACAGGTGACAAAACGTCCCTTGTCTTTATATAAACGTCTTCGAGATGAGGAGGCTCCGCCTGTAGTACTCCCTGCTGTTTGCAAATTACATTTGTCAGAAAAGTTGGGCATCTTCCACCATGCTTCAATAGACAAAAAGTAACATATAACTTGATCAAAATTTCTACCAGACATATAATACATGTATTGACAAATCGACTATACCTGAATACAATAAAAAAAAAACTGAACACTTTTTTTAAACTGCTCCCTATTTTTGTCAAGGCGAGATTGGCCCGGACCCAATGCCTATTGACCGTTAGAAAGTATGAAGTTGCTACTCTACAAACACAAGCCCCTAAAAGCCTTTCATCTATAATGTGGAGGGGGCAGGCTAGTTACAGAGATTTTATAATATTTCTGGCAGCGACATATCAATAACCAAATAGGTATGATAACTGAACTTACCAAACGCCCGATGTGTTGGATCAAGTGCGCAGGGCCGCCGTGCAAGGGGGAGGGGGCGCCGAAGTTTGCTACCAACGTCACTATTCTGTGCGTTTGAATTGACATCACACTCCCTCCTGTCCAAACACTCTCAATCCTTTCCAAACTCGATGGCCGATCATGGTAGACTGGTTATGTCATCATGGTATCACGAAAAAAAGCGATACAAACTCCTGATTTCTCTCTAGTTTTCCCCTGCATCGAAGCCAACTTTCCTAACGGTTTCATTCTAACCGCCAACACAGTACGCATGCGTACGCTCGCTGGCCAATCAGATGCATCATTTAGACTTTGCTTCCTTTCATTGCCTTCCTCAAGAAAGTTACATGTACGTGTTTAATAGGTACCCGATTATAAGGGATGCAGATTGTTTAAACTCTGAAGATAGTATTACCCATGCTATATGTGGTAAGTTTGCTAAATTCCAGATTTCCTGCAAGCGAGATCAGAAAAATTCCTCTTCTGGTATCTTTTTCGGATCTGCGGGATTCGTAATCCATATGAGGTCATACGAATGCCAAGTGGAATCTTTTTGGATCTGTGGAAGCGAATCTGCATCTGGTATCTTTTTCGGATCTGTGAAACTTGGAATCCATGCGAATCCATACTAAGAGTCAGTCAAGTGCGAAATTCTGATATTCACAAAATTCCCTGCGTTTCTGGTATATCTCTCTCGGATCTGTGGAAGATAGATCCGCAAAATCCCGCTTCTGGTATCGTTTTTGGATCTGAAGAACCGTGATCAGTAAAATCCCGCTTCCGGTATTTTTCGGATCTGCAGAACCGTGATCCGTGAAGTTCCGCTTCGGGTATCTTTATCGGATCCATAGAACCTTGATCCGTAAAATTCTGCTTTTGGCATCTTTTTCGGTGCTGCGGGACTCGGGATATACTAGCATGTGTGCCAAGTGCGAAATTCTGAGATCCGCAAAATCCCGTTGCTGATATCACTTTCGGATTTGTGGAAGCGAGATCTGCGAAATCCCGCTTCTGGTATCTTGTTCGGATCTGCGGAAGTGAGATCCGCGAAATCTCGCTTTCTGTCATTTTGTTCGGAAACTGTGGGAAATCCAAAGCAGCAGTACCCTGTGGGTTATTTTAGAATCCGTCAAATTCCCGGCATCCGGATTTGCTGAAATCCGTGGTAGTACATACGACGCCTACATTGGTATTTACTATATCTGTCAGGATCCGAGGCAACTCCAGACTCCCCAAAAAAACAGACTTATAACATATCTGAGAAAGAAGGTTCCTTGCGAATATCAAATTTGTATCTGTGTTTTTCTCGCGGATCCGGACGTATACGGTGCCGGAATTGTCGGACCTGCAGTGCGACTTCGTATTCGAGCAAGGATTGCGGATTTCTCCGGATTTGCTATGTATCCATCATGATGCACGATTTCGGATCTTCAGGATTCGCTATAATCCGAGGCCATTTCGTGCAGTGGAAGTTAAGGAGTATCCCAGAATCTGCAATTGAAGACTCAGAGAGCCCCGTGAAAGCCTCTTGGCATTTTAAGTTGACTTTACGTTTTAGTACACAAAACCCCTATCACAGCCTCGAAAATGATTCCATGAAAGGTCTCTTTCTGACTAAATACTCTAGTCAGAGTACAGGTTACATCAAAACAAGTGGACATTTTCTAGTATTTCTTCTAAAAAAAGTCAATACAGCATAAAATCATTTCAAAATTCGCCGGCAAGCTTGTCAGTACAACTCACGTGATCTGTGTTTACCCATGAAGCTTTGCTCTAGATCTCTTGCATAGGATCTCGTTCCCAGGCCATGGTTGTAGTTTAACCTAATGATGTTACCATGCATATGTGACGTCAGTCTCCAAGGACGTAGTATTGTCCCTAACCACACGGGCTAAATGGGTAAATAAATTAAATGTGCCTCTGTACTGTAAACACTGTCTCGTTTGAGTAAATTTAAAGGTATGGTCCGAAAAACTTATAATTATCAAGGTATGCCATTCATTATTATCATATTAACGTACTGGTGTTATCACGGTAAACCATTGAGGTAGCAGAACACAGTTTTCTATAGTCAAAGCCCCTGTCACACCTAGCCGAATATGACGTGAGGTTAGATCATGGTTGGGGAAGGGTTGGCTTGTGGTTGCGAGTAGGTCAGTGATATTTAGGGTGTGTTCAGGGGTCAAATTGGACTTGAATTTAACTCAAATTCGATTCAGTCCGTATGGAAAGGCAGGAGTGGCCTATAATCTTCGTTGGTACATGGTTGGTGGTCATATATGCAAATAATTTATCTGGTGTAGTCTTCCATATGATTAGATTGAGTCGTTGGCGCAGGGCTAAAGTACCATTTCTTGTCGCTGGAAGGCGCTTCTGTACAAACCAGTCCTTGACCAGGGCGAGGCTCAATTATAGAATTTCTCGCTAGGAGGAGCTTTTGTGTGGGCCTGTTGTAAAAAAAAATAGTGTGAAGTTATATGTACTTAGAATTAGTTGTATGTACAAGAATATCGTTATAACTTTTCATTTTGTACATACACGATGAAATTCCAGTATTTTAAACTCCTTGGTGGAAAGTTAGTGGCTCTCTTTGGCCAACTCCCCTTCTTGTTCTTTTTTTTTCAAAATCAGGCGAAAATTAATGCGCTCGCTAATGTCATCCATAAAAATTACTTGCTGTGGCCCAAGATAAAGTCAATGTTCCTACTGTGAAACTTCGATGTGAGACCTAAAACAACTCCGGTATGATACCAGTGCCGAACACTTTTTTCCAAAAATATATTTAAAAAAAGACGCCAATATTTCTAAACCTCCATAAATACATCCTCAAACGAGAAAATTGTCATGAATGTAAAAATAACAACAAGATTTGTTTGAAATTATCTTCAGTAATTTTCCATTGGCCATATGACGTCATCTTCACAACCACCCAGTTTCAGTGAACACGTACAGACGAGGATTTGGACGCTCTGTGGAAAATTGTTCAAAATCATTATTCTTTCCATTATTGCGGGCAAGTTTTCGTCAAAATATGCAGTAAAGGTCTTCTACAACTGGCAGATTGAAAAATTACGGGGCATTTTACGGTAATTTTACCAAAAAGACAACGACAATGCAGGGAAGACCGGACAACTGTGCAGCCGGGCCGAGTTTTACGTGGTGTGACGTAGGTAAGATTGTTGAAGACTCCTCTGCCATTTCTGAGCGAAATATTTAGCGTAGAAGTACCTTTAGTGTGTTCACAACAGTCTAGAACATGTTCTTCGTATGTTTGTCTTGAAATTCTGTGGTAATTTTCTGTCCTGTTGAGATATTTTTCATGGCAATTTCTGGGGAAAACTCGGCAGACATGCCTCTTGTTAACATTTGGCGCAGCTCGAGTTTCTGTCGTTTGACGACATAAATTTACCTCGAGTCTACTTATTTTGCGCACAAAAGTCGATAACACGATCTTAGGGACCTAAGCAATGGATGCTGAGGAAATGTTTTGTGTTTTTGGTATCTTTTCACGTGATAATATGTGAAAATGTCAAGCAGGACGTCATAGTAATTTAACATATGAATCTCGGCGGCCAGGTTTTTGGTGGGTAAAATGTTTAAGTAGCATGTTTAACAGGCTTGAAATACTGGGTGCATGTGCACCTTCGTGCATCCAAAATTGCAGATGTGCACCCATTTTTTTTCTGTGGGTGCACTGGTGCACCCAAATATTTTTGTAGGTATTTTTGTACATATTAAATGTATACAGTAATACTCGATATTCTTGGCATTTAAGTGTCAGAAAATCTTTGTTGTACTTGTTTAAAGTACAAGATTTTGAAGTTAGCTCACATTTCAGATTCAAGCTCAGAAGAGGAGCAAGTAAGCCTGCAATTACTGGTAGGTTTTGTGCACCCAAAAAATTTTTGTGCACCTAAATTTTTTTAGGTTAGGTGCACCAGTGCACCTATTCCCAAAAATGAATTTCGAGCCGTGTCGAGTCTAGTTATTTTGCGCACAAAAGTCGATAACACAATCTTAGTGACCTAAGCAATGAATGCTGAGGAAATGTTTTGTGTTTTTGGTACCTTTTCACGTGATAATATGTGAAAATGTCAAGCAGGACGTCATAGTAATTTAACATATGAATCTCAGCGACCAGGTTTTTGGTGGGTAAAATGTTTAAGTAGCATGTTTAACAAACACACGTAATACAACATGCCGGATGTGCAAATCTTATATATACAGAAATTTAGTGTATTAAATATAATTTTCAAATGGACCCCTCAAGTATAAAGCTAAGAAGCTAATGTGAAATATTTAAACAGCTTGATCTTCAGATGCTGTTCAAATTTCTTTTGTTCTTTGCAGGTTTTGACACAACAAGCGGCAAGGAGGGGGCAAGGAATATGCATTGAGCATTTTGAAGGAGACTCCCAGCTAAAAAGAATATTCAGCACCACTACATCCCAGCCTTACAGTTGGTAGGCATGGTCATTTATCACAATAACCGTTTTGTTCACTGCCATTTGCATCTTTTGCATACACAAAAGACTGTCCTTAGTTCTGAACACCATCCACACACAAACATACCAGTCCCTGGTGCTGAACACCATCCACACACACACACAAACATGCCTCTCCTTGGTTCTGAACACCATCCACACAGAAACATGCCTGTCCTTGGTGCTGAACACCATCCACACAAACATGCCTGTCCTTGGTGCTGAACACCATCCACACACAAACATGCCTGTCCCTGGTGCTGAACACAATCCACACAGAAACATGCCTGTCCTTGGTGCTGAACACCATCCACACACAAACATGGCTGTCCCTGGTGCTGAACACAATCCACACAGAAACATGCCTGTCCTTGGTGCTGAACACCATCCACACACAAACATGCCTGTCCTTGGTGCTGAACACCATCCACACACAGGCAGACACACCTGTCCTTGGTGATGAACATCAACCACACATAAACATGCCTGTCATTGGTGCTGAACATCAGCAAAACACAAACACACCTGTCCCTGGTGCTGAACACCATCCACACACAAACACACCTGTCCTTGGTGCTGAACACCATCCACACACAAACACACCTGTCCTTGGTGCTGAACACCATCCACACAGAAACACACCTGTCCTTGGTGCTGAACACCATCCACACACAAACATGCCTGTCCTTGGTGCTGAACACCCTTCACACACAAACACAACTGTCCCTGGTGCTGAACACGATCCACACACAAACACACCTGTCCCTGGTGCTGAACACGATCCACACACAAACACAATTGTCCCTGGTGCTGAAAATACACAATTTTGTAAGACATCCAAGGACAAACAAAAACCCTTTCATTTTTCTTGTAGCACAGTGAAGCCAAATGGAGAGAAGACATACTGCACCGCATATGCCAGCAGGTTTTGCTAGACCATTTCTTACTCATTTAAGAAATACTATAAGCTCTCTTTTACCCATAGCACAGATGATGCCTGAATTGTGCAAAATGCATTGCTGTAAATTGATTCATTAAGTTTGTTTAAGTTTGAAAAAATTCTGTAGTACAGTATAAATACAAAGAAAACAAGTATTCCTAGCACCATGATTTTGTTATGGTGGCTAGATTTGGTAGGCTTTTTTGAGGTCGCCATGAAAATTATAATCACCAGAATCATGTCAAGATTTACAGTATTTTATAATGGCTAGAACATGCAGCAAAAAGTCTTGGTGTAGTTATACCAATATCATCATCATCATTAATCATCATCCAAAGAGTTGAAGCATACAATGTTAGACCTCCACAACTTTCTGTCCTTCATCGCAGTGATAAGTTCCAGGCCCTGCAAGCCTGTTTCAGTTTCTATAAGTTTCTTAAGTGTTACGTTTGGCCGACCAACTCTTCTTTTTGTGTCAGGGTTCCAGAGTAGAAGCCTACCGGCTGGTTCTTCACTACGTACAATATGGCCGGCCAAGCTGAGTCGTCGACATTTAACTACTGTAGTCACATTTGGTAACGAACCATATAACTGTTCATTGGTAGTATGTTTCCACCATGGTGTATTGAAAACCACTCGCAACATCTTTGTGTATGTCCCGTTTAGTTTTCTAGAATGTGACATATTCATAATCCATGATTCTGACCCATACAAAAGGCATAGGTAATGATAACAACAGTTTTTTTTCTATCATATATCATTTTTGGAATAGCTTTTGTTAAATGCTGTGTTAACTACAGGTCCAACGTGTGCACAGCTACAATGTATCTCATTGGCTGCAAACAGCAAGAACACTACCGATGTGGCATGGCATTTGGAGGCAGAATATTGCGCTGCGTTTTGCATATCCTTTCAAGTTGACACTTGTTAATGCATCACTGGCATGTTGTATCCACAGTTTATCCTTTCATCACAATTGTAAGCCTCTTATTTGGAACACAAGTAAGGCCTAGGAAAAATGTTGTGTTTCCTGTTGTTTCAGTCCAGAAAAAAATAGGGTCAGTAGGTAGGTAGTAAAGTAGGTAGTTATCTTTTTTTAGACTTTGGCAATCTCTACATAAGTGATCCAATTAATACCAAGGAGAATAGAATATACCAGTTGGGTACCATTATCATTGCTTCATAACTTTATTGCATGCAAAAGTGTCCTGTTGACTGCCATTTGTGTCACATAATTATTTTTGCAACCTAAACCTCATATTAGCTTTCAACAGTCACTGCTGCTGAAGCATTATGATATTATAATAGTAGATTCAGGACAGAAATTGTGAAATTGAAAAAAAAAAATTATGTGTTTTAGGTGTCCTAGTACAGGGACAAGTGAGATATACGTTACAATTTACAATGTTACAAGTTACAATGTATGACTTTTCAATTATTTTTACATGTTTGACTGATATATGCTTGTATATGGGGCAGCAAATGCAACTATTGCGCCTGCATAAAAGTACATGTTTGACTGATATATGCTTGTATATGGGGCAGCAAATGAAACTATTGCGCCTGCATGAAAGTACATGTTTGACTGATATATGCTTGTATATGGGGCAGCAAATGAAACTATTGCGCCTGCATGAAAGTATGCCAAAAAGAAGACAACTTCAAGGATGAAGCAGAGAAACCTGAGCACTTATAATGGAAAGTTTTTCTCGATACATTTTAGATGTCCCAACTAATCAAGTCTTATTCTCAATTTATATGGCACACATAATGATAAAATGTCTGCTATGATGTATGTAATTGCAACTGATTGCTGTTTTTGGCTTGTATGATCATGTTTGAACAATAGATGGTATCCCAGTATAGGAGCCATATAGAATGTCACATAGAACAGCACCTAAAATCTTCACCCCAGTACAGGGGGCAGGAAAAGACAGCATGGCCTGAGAGTGTGTTTTGTTTCTATGCTCCAGTACAGGAGCAAGAGGCCGACAGTTACATTGATAAAAATGTATAATTGATATAACTAAATATAATTAATATGCACACATGTCGTCTGAGGTAACAGGTGCAGTAACCTGCTGTGCATTTGGATATCAGTGAGTGCCCAGAAATACGTGGTGCTCCAAAACTGGTCAGACGGTAGGCTGTTGTTAGCATCTGTGCGCTATCCCCTGTCGTGAGTGTGAGAGCCCGCGGGAGATCATGTCCTCGTACTGGCTTGGTGGATCGTGCGATCGTACGGAACGATGAGGGTGAAACTTTCACATGCAGGGTGACTTCGGGTCAGGCATTCCAGGGACCGGGCAGGGTGGCCAAGCCCACGGCTTGGAGTGGCGTTTAATGGTCGCACCATCTGGGCCGCATACCTGGATCATACACCCAAATCGTTCATTTTGCCAGTCAATGGACATCGCTGTCCCGTGTTCGCATCAACCGCCTGCGGGTTGATTCCGGACTCATCGCGCCGGGGGCAGAATGATCACGGAAAGCCAGGCAGTCCTGTGCTGGGTACCGCCAGTGGCGAGGCGGTACCGGGGGCTGTTTTGCTGGTTGCGGGTAGTCACCTGTATGTCCCTGAAGTGGATCTGGCTACACTCTTAAAGGTCCTGTACTCACTGGTACACTCTATTAAAAAGAATAATGATATTATTGACAATTGAATTTCTCACGACCTCACGGTGCCATGAGTACTGGGATACTGGGAGTGTGTTAGAGTCGGATTGCACCCGGACATGGGGCATTGGTAACAAATTACCTCCTTTGCCTGTTGGTGGATACGAAGGTGGCGTTCCCAACGAGCGGCTTCGGCCGCTCACCGGGGCGTACGCTGACTGCCCGTTGCATTACTGTCGGTCACTCAGGCATTCGAGCGGCAGTACCGAGCAATCGGTATGGGAGTGACCAGGGAACCCTTTCCTGTTCGAAGGAGTGGCGAAGACCATTGCGAACGCTTAAGCATGCTCCGAGGAAGGGGTGACCTCTGGGTTAGCGTGTGACACCTGAGTGGATGAGGCCGTGGTGGGAGGAGGCCGATTCCCTGGTTGTCGTTCCGGGGTGCTTGTAACCAAATCGACAGGGGCTCTGGCGCACAGTCGGCATAGACACTTAGCTTTAGCTGTAGATCGTGAGGTCGTTACATCATCTGCACTATAATGTTGTGCAAAGTAGGGCTTGGCTGTTAGTCCTGTGGTGGTGCGGAGTAGCCGTGGTGGAGCGAAACCACTGCCACTGTGATTCCCAGCCGCACAGCAGACAAACTGCACTTTAACACCTCAGACTGACATACAGACATCAACCAAAGTTTGGATTAAGTAGAAAGTGATTGACGGCTACCAACTTATAAAAGACAGATATCGCCGTAGTTCTATCCAGGTTGTACATAAAAGATAGATATCGCCGTAGTTCTATCCAGGATATACATAAAAGACAGATATCGCCGTAGGCTACCATGTGCATTATAACTAGAACCTATCATGTGCTATAAAAATCAATTAATTAAACTGAGGTTGATGTCTGCTTAAGCTAATAGATGGTACCCAGTATAGGGGCCAATGAGCCTACAGAATGATTGGCATTATGTTGCCAAGTATAATAGCATCCCAGTACAGGGATGCAATAACCATTTAACTGTGCACTCCAGTATAGGGGGCACCAAACCAGACAATGTGAATGTGATATGTACATGTATGATGACATATTATTGCCTCACTTTTTTGTTTTTGCATCACCATCACTGGTTGCGCCAGGTCATTGACCCCCTGGTCTGTGATTACACCCAGGGAGGGACATTGTCCAGTATTGTAAAAATTTAAGTAGAGGTGATTTTAGATGTTCAAGTATGCAGCAGAAAGTACAAGACAACTTCAAGGCTGAGCGAGAGGATGCAGATATATTTTTCCATATGAACAGATTCTTATTGCTAATGTGCAAGATTCATCGCAGTGGCAACAGTCTGTATCTGTATGGGGGCCCGCAAGCCCTTTTCCGTAGAGCGTAATCGGCCGTTTTAATTCTACGTAGAGCGTAGACGGACTGCTCTAATATTTTTGCGTAGAGCGTATTCGGCGTTTTATTTCTACGTAATACGTTGTGGTCACTTGGAATTTATCATAAAGCGTAATCGAGAGGTTCCGAATTCATCGTAGAGCATTGTCGGGATCCCCCCTTGCAGGCCCTCCTGTATCTGTATAGCCGGTATAACTGCCTTTCGGCGTAACACACCAGCTTTGCAGGCACGCGGCGCGGCGGCAGCTGACTATATTACACCGATCGACTTGTTACACCTAACCCTTGAACTTCTAGCTCTAGACTTTGTTTAAAGCTATCTCTATCTTTAAAGCTAAGTCTAGTGATACACTGAATGCCTCTCAGCAGTGGTGACTGAAAATGACCTCAAATTGTAAAAAAATTGTGAATTTCTTACAATAAATTGGCACAAAATGGCAGCAAACCCACAGACTGCTGTAAATTGTACTGAGGCTGATATTGTTCATTTGCTTGTAATAACCACAACTTATTCTTTTCAGTCAAGATGTCTCAGGTCCTGTACTATCATAATGTTCATTTGATATCTGAGAGTTTCTGCAGAACAAAATGTTCTGTAGCTGTGTTGTATTTAATACAATTGATTGTACACTTCTGTTTGGCCATTCATTTAATCCATGATTTTAGTAGATTGATACAAAAGACTTTCTTACAATTCTCTCTTGCTCCGTAGGGCACTGTGTGCAGCTTTGGATTCGAACCATCAACCTAAGTAGACTAATCCTAAATGCCTTCCTATGTGTAATTCTCACAGACTGTGTGCAGCTTCTCTGGATTCGAACCTGATCAACCTCTAGCTAAGAATGATCCAAAATGCTTAATTCCTTACAATTCTGACTTGGACTGTGTGCAGCTTTGGATTCGAACAATCAACCTCTAGTAGAATGATCCTTATATTTCAATTCTCACTCAGGGCACTGTGTGCATCACTACGGATTCAGACCATCAACCTCTAGTAGACTGATTAACAAATGCTTTCCTCACTATTCTGATTTAGGGCACTGTGTGCAGCTTCTTTAGATTTGAACCATCAACCTTAAGTAGAATGATCTTAATGCTTTCCTTACAATCCTGACTTTGGGCACTGTGTACATTTTCTTCGGATTCAAACCATCAATGATGGTAACCTCTAGTAAAATTATCAAAAATGCTTTCTTGACAATTCTGACTTATGTAGGGCATTGCATGCAGCTTATCTTTGGATGCAGACCATCAACCTGTAGTAGAATTCATAATCCAAAATGCTTTCCTTACAGTTCTCACATAGGGCAACCACAGTGTGCAGATTCTGTGGATTCAAACCATCAACCTCTAGTAGAATGATCCAAAATGCTTTCCTTACCATTCTGATGTAGGGCACTGTATGCAGCTTCTTTGGATTCAAGCCATCAACCTCTAGAATTTATAATCCAAAATGCCTGATTGTTTTGTTTTTCAGCTTTTGAAGCAACAATCTTGTGAAAACTTTGTTAAGATAAACTGTAAGTAATTTGTGCAGTCTGTGGGTTCAGGACACTTCAGGTTTTCCATATATTCTATTTCCTTACCCCCACCCTCTTACTAGCCAGCTTCCAGGACAGTGATGCAAGTATCAGGAATGGTTGGTATGGGTATTGAGCACAGGGCTGGACATGGTACTTTGCATTTCTTGATATGCTTAAAAATGCCTTTTCATGGTAAGGATCACTGAGGATTCTAATACTTTGACTTTATGACAATTTTTACATCCCTTGTAAACGGTAGTCAAGCGCAATGTTTTCTCGCAATTTATTCTCGTACTATTTTAATGTAGATCAAATCGTTTTCGTGTCTCATTAGCTGCCCTTAAGTACAGGGGAGGCCAGTCTAGATCAGTATAGTGTTTATAGTACCAGTGGTTTATGTTTTTGTACCATGTCCAGTTACCTTGTGCAACATGGTAAGTAAAACCGAAGACTGTGGCAGCAAGACAGGTGGTCCCAGGACAGGTGAAACAGGTGGTCCCAGGACAGGTGTCTCCGACTACAAGGTGGCTTGATGGAGGGCGGAGGTCATCAACAGTCATCAAGGTCAGGGTTCGAACCTGAACCCCTTGGCCTGTGTGCCTGTGTCATTCATTGATTAGTTAGATTTAGATATAGGCAGGGCCAAAAAAGGACAATTCCATTAGATAGCATAGGAGGAAAGTTGGCATCAAACTTTCTTGAAACTTGGATTAAAAGGTTCTAAACTGATTTTAAAAATTCCCCCTGACCCCAAAT